GCAACCGTCACGGATGGGACTCGCATTCACTATTGCCAGCCTCACAGTACTTCCTCACGTGAATACAATCAAAGGCATCCGAACGTTTCTGTCCATGGTTAATTATTTTGTGCTACCTCTGTGAGATGAGTCATTCACCCTATGCCTCATACAGTCTCTACTTGCTGTTAAGGACGCTTTCCTGGATCCCCTGAGAAATGCAGTTTTACTCCTATGCTCATATGCTATGCCCTACAACTTACACGCTAACCTATTGCAATTATCTTGTATTCCTATCGACTAACAACACTAGTACAAACTTGTGTCAAGCTTTCAACAAAGCTCATCCTCTACACACATTTTCTAGGGCTATGTATGATAACAATGTTCAGCCTGCATAATTTTCACAGAGCTATACATTTTCTAGGGCTATGTTTACTAACAGTGTTCAGCACCCCATAGCCTCAATAGACTTAGCATGCTCCTACCTTCCTGTATAAATCCATGAAACTAGGCAAGTTAATATGACACACAACTGTTTCTCTATATCTATGTCTTTAATTTGCTATCACTACTAAGCTTACGTTATTATCTTGTTTATCTAACTACTTTCAAAAAAAAAGTGCAATGTCGTTAATGCCATGTGATTAAGAATGTATGTAAACTCGACTGTACCAGCTATTGTGGCAGTACAAATTCGCCTGTTACCCTCATGCACGAACAAAAATAAAGAATAAAAAAAAAAAAAATGGCACTCTATTTTTAAAGCAATATATAGATAACTCCTAAAAAATAGCTTTTTAAGATCCTGTAGCTTCACAGTTTAAAATGGCTGCCTGTAGCTACAGTTAGGTCCCCTCGCTCATAAGGTAGAGGCTCATCAATCTCATTTTGGTCTTTCAGGTCTATTAACCCCATAAATTCCTGCAGGAGCAATAGTAAGTATTTTTTTCCGCACCAGCAGTTTTAGTCATCAGATAGGTTGAGTGAAACTGCTCTGTATACAGACGGCAACCATTCCGCAGCTGCAATCAGTTTACACACAGCCACACCATAAGTACTTTGCATCATTGCAGACTTCGTGATGTTTAAAACATCATGCATCACACCTGGTGTGGGAGAGGTCTTCTTGCAGCCGTACACCTTCCCTTTACACAGTGCTCTGCCCGAGGGACAGTAAAAAAATATTTTTAATGTATTTTTTGTAGAACGCATAAAAAAAAAATACTGAGTAAAAATTTACCTGGGCAGCCCCTTTGATAAACCAGACTGTGTGCTGTGATTGGGGGTCTATGGTTTTTGTTTGTGAGAAGAGAGAGAGGTCAGTCCATGTATTGCGTGTGGTGTGCTCATACAACATGCACAATATGGTGAAAATTGATAACAGCAGCCTTATTTCCATGTGTTCTGAAATTGAACAATGCAATTCCAGAGAACTAACAGTTCCCCTTTAAATAAATATTCTTAATGGAATACCGTAAGCACCATAATAACTACTGCTGCCGTTTCCGCTGGCACCAACCCCTGGCTCTTAATGCAGTTTGACGCAAACCATGGATGCTCCACTTCCGCATTAGTTATGTCAATTTCATCTATCTTTGGTCAGCATTTATTGGCAGAACATGCCAGCACATACTATGGCACTGTACAAATAATGGAACGTACAGAGGACAATATACAGCACAGAATAAACAGAGAACAACTACGACTAGCAACACAGCTAGTGAGTTTACAATCTAAATGTTACAATGGGAGTTCAAACAAGAAATTGCTTGAGAGTATGCAGACGATGGCCCTGGCGGGTAGCATTCACATAGTTAATGAAGAGGTAAACGAGGTAGTAAGGGAATATTTAATGAGCCTGGGTAGCTATGCTGAAAAGTAAAGCATGTGTAAATGGGTTAGTGGTTGCAGATCTTGAGGATTAATTACAGAAGAAGTATTTGAGAACAGGTGTGAATGCCTGGAGTAACAAGAGAAGATATTAGATAAAAGGATATTAGACTATCCTCCTTTGACGTACAGTCCTTTGTAAAGTTTTGCCAATAGGAACAGTTTGTAATTTCTAAGATAGGTAATTTAGGTAATTTGTGCAATGTTAATAAATAAAACCAGGAGACAGACAAAATGTCATAAGAGTTGGGAGAGAATAACAACCTGATTATGAAACACGCTCTCACACACAAGTCATAGTACATTAAATACTACTGAAATATATAGACACATAATTGGTACGGCAGAAAAAGGTCATTGTATATCAGGAAACGATCAGAAAAGAATCTGCAACATGTCATAGCTTACTAATAGATGGTGCAATCTTGTATGTTTGTTGAGCTATCGATTTTAAAGTCTTGCAGTGTTGTTCACTAATGTGAATTTCAAATTTTAGACCAAAGAAACCAAAGTGGAAGCATTGTTGACTTAGGGAATGTTTTGTGTTTGGCTATTTTTACCTCCAGTTTAATATTCACTTTGTATTCTGTGAATCCCTCAGTGAGATCCAATATTTCTTCTAGGAAAACATGTATTATTGATGTTTTGAGAAAATCGACATTGAGTCCCTGGCTACTTATCCTCCTGACTGCCCTAGGCAAATAAAACAGACACCAAAACCTGGATCACAAAAAAATTCAATAATTTACAATTGAATTATGGACAAGGGCAAGAGTCCCCCCCAAAATGCACCCCCCCTCCCTTCTGCATTTTAGTGTTTGACATTCTTGTTATTATTATGCATTAAAAAGTGCCTGCAGTGGAACCACGAACAACATAAAAATATAATGTTTTTTATCAAGGAAGAGGCATAACATACAAGGTAGGTACCATAGATATAAAATAAGCCATACAAATTCATAAGGCAGGAGTAACAACAGGACAGATACTATAAACATCAGGAATTCGATGGATATTTGGACTATTAAACTGAAGATCACGTTGTGCCCTTTATGTAGTTCTGGTTCAAGGACAACTTTAGTGTGATAGCGTATTACTAATGGTCTGTGCAGGAAGAAACAATGGCCTTTGGCTTGAAAATATGATGTTACCACATATACAGCAATGAATGTGAGCATGTAGTGGCACCAGACTTAAAGGTTTCACATGCCCTTCCCTAAAAATATCTAGGCTACAAAGACCTATGTCCTAAGCATCTTAAAACCTTCCCAGCTATGCCCAAGATTGAAATCATTGTGTTGGCTTGCAAAGCCACCCATAACTTTACTATGCGTGGTCATTTTCTACTTTTCATAATCTAAAGCTCTGTAGTGGTTCTGGTGTCTATAGCCTGTCACTGCAGGCTTTTTAATGTAAACACTGCCTTTTCAGAGAAAAGGCATTCAGCATCTACATGCTCTGCTGAATGTTCCCCCCCTTGAGATACACTGATTCAATGCATCTTTATGAGGAGATACTGATTGGCACAGTGTGCCGTTTTACCATGCATGCGCAATATCCTCGAATTGGCTGCGGACATGCGCTGCAAGACCAGCGCAGCATAGGTGACAAGTTGAGTTTTATCACCTTTTCAAAGCGATCTGAGTGGAGCTGGGGAGCTAAACAGTTAGTTTAACACTATACTATTCCTTTAACCCCTTAAGGACCAAACTTCTGGAATAAAAGGGAATCATGACATGTCACACATGCCATGTGTCCTTAAGGGGTTAAATACTTAATCTTTCATCGTTTTCCCAAGCTGCACTCTTTTTGTAAATCATTACCACGTGAACTTTGTTCCTCTTTTTTTCTTTCAATTTTTTCATAAACGTCCTCAGATCATATCTCCAAAATCTTTTTTACGAGTGGCAGTTCCTACTTTTGACCCAAATAAAACTACAGCAGTGCCTCTATTTTCATTAAGAGCAGACTTGTTGGTATGTTCAATTGTATCATTCACCATCCTTCAGAATACTACCACTATCACAATAAAAGCAACGTATGAGAAAAATAATACACAGTATAGCAACAATATTTAGAATGTTTAACAAATTAAAACAGTGCAAAAATTATGCAAATGGTTTATGTATATAAGTACATATACACTGCATGCTACAATAATGCATTCATAACACCACCTTTGTACACAAACCATAAGTCTTTTCAGTGTTCTGTAGAATTGTATAGCACTATGTAAATAATAAATATTAAAAATGTAATAAATACATGTCCAGCTACAACTTATACCAGGTGTAATGACACAATAAGGGCAAATACTATTTTCAAACTATTTTTTAATGATACAGAATAAGGGGGGAGGGGGGAGGGGAACAAAGGAAATGGGGAGGGGGAAGGATTTAACATCTACAATAATACAAAGAAATTATAAAAATAGAACAATGTAAAATATATATAAACCAGAATTATAGAGTGCAATATTACATAATTAAAGTTATAGCCTATAAAATTGCAACCATTAAGATATAACAGAGGTCTGGAGATCTCACCACACAAAGGAAAGAAGATAGAGCCATAGCAGACATTCCAGATCCCTGCAAAGCACACACTCTTTATATAAAGTTAACATTATTTTGACAAATTCTCACAGCAGATACTCATTGCACACTCTGCATACTCCCTATCTTTCCATCATTTACCATTTCAGTAAAAGTGACTTTTAGCTCACATGTTTTTATTATAAATTATTTTCAAATTATTTTTTAACATTTTTTTTTAATGAAAAAAAACAACAACATTTATACATAATACTGGTCTAATAATAGCAGGAAGAAAAAAAAAACACCTCTTTGCATTCAAAGTGCTCTAACATGTGTGATAATACTGCAGCCTTGACTTCAGTTGGATATAATTAAATTATGAGTAAATTTTTTTTTTACAAATTAAAAATTCCCAGGAGACAGGATACTAGTCTCTGTCACTCCAGCTGTTGTGGCTATGGTCCCTCTAGGGCGGAAGTGACCATCAGCCAGCATCACTGAGCTGGATGGCAGGGCAGCACGTGGGTAGAGCAGCGAGACAATAATTAGAACGCTGTGATTGGCTGATGGGCCGTCACATGATCATCTCCGGGCAGACTTCCGGCAACAACGCCTGTGTCACGTCACCTCCCCTGTGCCTGGAAGGTGAGCTGCATGGTGTGTACACAGAGCAGGGCTGTGCATGTCGAGCTGCGGGTAGTATGCATTGCCATCATGGGGTTTCATTAACCATCACATACCTGCTTCATTCATGTTAGTGGCATGCCCACAGTGTATCATGGGGGGGAGGGAGGGCATTGTATGCTGTTATCAGTGTTATTTAAAGGACCACTATAGTGCCAGGAAAACATACTTGTTTTCCTGACTCTATAGGGTCCTTGGGTCCCCCTCCTGCCAGGCTCTTTTTCCAGCGCCGGCTCCCTCGGAGGTGGGGACTCTCCTCCTCCTTTCCCGTCATTGGCTGAATGCGCATGTGTGGCAAGAGCCGCGCGCTTATTCAGCCAGTCCATAGGAAAGGTGTCTTCTCACAGTAAGTAGCGCGGAAGCGCCTCTAGCGGCTGTCAATGAGACAGCCACTAGAGGCTGGATTAACCCATTTCTCTGAAACTGCTATGTTTACAGCAGAAAGGGTTAATCCTAGAGGGACCTGGCACCCAGACCACTTCATTAAGCTGAAGTGGTCTGGGTGCCTATAGTGCTCCTTTAACTGGCAGGCAGTGTCACACAGTGGGGTTCACTGATTTATGGGGGTTTGGGTAGTGAGGGGTTTAAACAGACCCAAGGAGCAAGTTTCTCCAAAAATGTCACAATTGGTGCTCCCCTTCCCATTGTGTTATCTAGAGGCAGTGGAGGAATCTGTTTTAGTTTTGGGGCTGGTCAAAGGCTGGCAGAGGATCATTGGTGTTGAAGTTCTACCACAGCTGGGCTCTAACAATCTGCCTCCATTGGTTTTTAGATCCTTAAAGGAACACTGCATTAACTGGGGGGGAGGGAAATAATTTAATTAAAATCACTGTTTAGTATAAATATTCCCAAATGAAAGCATGCATGCATTTAATTATGCATTCCCCTGTTGGGTTATATCTAAAAACTGCTTGCAAAAGTTTACAAGCACTCCCCTTCTAGCCCCTACCAGACTTTCTGTGTCTGTCCAATTACAGACTTTCCAATGCAGCTCAATGAGATGTCTTTGCAAGGCAGGTGCTCAGGGCAAATGCTGCCTTTTGAATTTGGTTCCACTGAGCTAAACAAACCAGGAAGTAACATGATCTGTTGTATGATTAACAACCCCCCCCCCCCCTTTCCCAAGGGTTAACAAGGTTAATTTTATAAAAGTGCCAATTTCTACTGAAATCAGCACTTTTTATGAAATACAAAAAAGAGAATGTAAGAAGTATCCTGAATGGTTATGCATTACTCCTAAATTGAGTAAAAATGACATGTGTTTTACATTGATATTAGAGTATTGACTATGTAGTCAGAGTAAACCATGTTGGGTGCAATGTATTGGTGTTCAACTTGGGATTTACTTTTTAATAGATGGTAGATCGGTTGGCCTGAAATAGGATTAATTTTGAACATAATACATAACCGGCACTTTATAGCGTGCATATTGCATCTTACACTGTAATACCTCTGACATGTTGCCATATGATTTGTATAATAGGTATTGTGCTAGAAGAAATTTCAACACAGAGTGAATGGCGAGGATAGATGACGTACAATTCCAAGGTGAGGAGCAATGTAAATAATCTTTTTATAAATAACTGCGTACGCCAGTGCTTTCTTAACTTGTTTTTGCCAGGTACCCAGTATGTATATAGGATTAGTTTTGCAGCTAATTCTTCGTTTTGCAGTTTGTCTCAATATTCAGAAATAAGTGCACTATAACTAATTAGCATTACAATAAACTTTGCTTAACATCTTCATCTGACCCTTTCCAATACCAAATATTTCAGCTAGTTAAAGCAGTTCTGTAAAACTGTGAACAGTTGACCGGGGCCTGAAGAATGTGATATGCCTGAGATTAAGAGCCACTGGCCTCAACTCATTTTTGGTCTATTTTCCTTTTATGGGCTGTGGTGTGTGTGTTTTTCTTAAATATATAGTAGCTGTTTATATTGTTATAAAATCTGTGCACGCAGACCTACTCTTCGTGAAAAGGTCGATATCAGTGTAAGCATGGCAAATGGTTGCTTACTACAGCATCTTCAAGGGCAAGGTTGTTTTCTCCCTGCTCCAAACTGGGTGTTTCTGAGTAAGGCTGTGAATAAAGTTAGCAGGCATTATTCCAGGAATTTTTTACTCAGCCCTATTAACCCACAATATGCTCTATCTGCAGTCAATGTGCCTATTATCTTAACTGCAGAATTAACACATGGTGATTTAAATATTGACATTTTGAGCAGCATTACACCTGTTACATTTTCTTCCTGTTATGACAGATCACATTCTACAAAATATCACTATGCCACACAAATTTACCTTTTTAATCTTTTATGTGTTTATTTTCGAAGAGGGGGTGCATGGGATAATTGCTCTGTATATGGTTCTTCTAAATATGTAACTTTAGATCACCATCAATTACTAATTATTACAGTTTAACTGTATGAACACTTTTTTTTTTTTTTTTTTTCCCGCACTAAACGTCAGATTGTAGTGAATTGAAATTCAAATAGCTTAAATGTGACTATAGATAAACTCTAAAATTATTCCATATCAGGCATTTTTGCTTAAATGTTGCCTTTTGGATGTTTAGATCTCTATAATTGAGATTAGTAAAAAGTCATGATGGTGTGATCTCTAAAATAACCTGTTCAACTGGACTTTTCAAAAGCTCAATAATAGTTTAACCATTTTTATTATGCTTACTTGTACAGCTGTATTTAATGGTTTGCATGTAAACATGAGGAAAGATCATGGTTCTGGAAGGTGTGTGTGTGTGTCTGTCGTTAGACCACCTAAGGAAGTTTTTTTTTTTTAATTTATAAACACTTTTTTGCACTTCTTCTATGGTTATATCAGAATTTGATGATGCAGCAAATTTACTGGCTGCCAACCCTGATGCCACCACTACTACTGTGAGTATTGTAGAGTCTCAAGACACAGGTGGGGGCCGGCAAGGACATCGACACAGAGATGAAGACGACTCGTTGGCAAATGAAGACTCTGATAAAACAGAGGTAATTTCATGAAGTAAAATTTGGCATTCTTATAAATGGTTTCTACCCCCAAAATATCTTCAATATTTGCTCTGTGACACACCAATAGAACATACTTTATTATATTCTAAGTGTCTTTATTTTATTTATTTTTTTGCTGTGTTTTATGATAATACTTGGTGCCAATCATCCCTGAAACTAGACTTCATGCATTCTGGTTGATCAATGTTGTATAAGCTGTCGTGTCATATTAATAGTAGTTAAAAGATAGTTATTAGTTGTGTTTTCGTTTGTTTAACACACTCTATTTTAATTATATTTGTATTTGTTTCATGCAATGCAGGTATAGCCAGCTTGTAGCAGTTTGTGTGTGCATGAACATAGAATTGTTGATAAATGATACCCATAGCATTTACAATTTCACAACATCTTGGGAAATTGGCTGTTAAAGTCTCCCAGAAATGCAGCACTGGTGGGTGTGTTTTTATTTACTATCATTACTTATCGTCACTCCACCTAAATTAATAGCTTCAGTATCGGAAGTGATTATTTATCTGTATATCCTGTGATTTGTTTTTAATTCACTTTTATACAAATAAATGGTGATTCTGTATTATGTGTATGCATGTTCTCTTCCATGTACCTTGGTAATGCCCTCATTCCTGGAGCACTGGTTACACCCCACTTCCACATAATAAATGTAAATTTTACCCATCCTCGGCAACATTAATTAGCTATGAATCCTGGGCTGATGCAAAATCAATGTGAGCAAGAAGGGAGGGGGTCCTTTGGTGGGAAGGGCACAAGTTTTATAATAAACAGATTGATATTAAATCTCGGGGTCCACTATATCAGAGCTGTGATTGTTAAGTTGCTTAGTGTTCCTTTATAGAAATAGTATGGGAAATACTTTAGATTTTGCATTGGCATGTTTAAACGTGTTATAATATGCTCTTTATAGTAAACATTAATTTATATTTAACTTATAATATCTATAAATTTTTGTGGATGACTAGACATCTGTTTGGGGTTTTTTTTTTTTTTTTTTTATACACTATTACAAAATGTTACGGTATTACTCAATATTACATATTGTGCATATTACACAATATTGTGTGCACCCACTTGTGATATGGATAGTGACTGCTCAAAATAATCTTAATTGTACGATTCAGACCTCAGCCGTTGTAGTTTTCAGTATAGTTCTTTGAATAACCTGTCAACCGTACCATTGAAGCTGTGAACCATTAAAGGTTAATACTAATTCTTTTTTGCAGCTGCTTGCCGGACAGAAGAGTTTGGCTGCTTTTTGGACATTTGATTATTACCAAACATTTTTTGATGTAGACACTTACCAGGTAAGTTAGATCAGTTATGCTGATCTCAATAATGCAAGACCATTGGCAGATGTACATATCAATATATATTACAGCGTGTTTTTTATTTTTTTTATTTTATTTTTTTTAACTTTTCTACAGGTTCTGGATAGGATAAAAGGCTCCCTTTTACCAATACCTGGTCGAAACTTTGTGAGGTTATATGTGAGAAGCAATCCAGATCTATATGGTGAGTGGTGAATTTCTGCATTTATAGATATTTACTTTGTTTTTATTGTCACATTGTACTGTAAGAGTATTTTTGAATCCTGCACATTTGGCTATTACTCAAACTATTTTCCACAACTGTTTCTTTAGTTATCTAGATTTAAAGGAACACTATATTCACCAAAACAACTTTAGCTTAATGAATCCGTTTTGGTGTACAGATAATGCCCCTGCACTCTCGCTGCTCAATTCTCTGCCATTTAGGAGTTGAACCACTTTGTTTATGTAGCCATAGTCACACCTCCCTGCATGTAACTTACACAGCCATCCTAAACACTTCCTCTAAATAATCATCTAATGTTTATATTTTCTTTATTGTCAATTCTGTTTAATTTAGAATTCCTTATCTCATGCTCTGTTAATAGCTTGTTAGACCCCACAGAGTCTCATGTATGCAACTAAAGCTCAATCCACAGAGCAGGAGATGAAGAAAAAATAAATAAATAAAACACTTTAAAATAAGTTACATCAGATTGAAAATGAAACCATTTTTATTTTCATGCAGGCTGTGTCAGTCACAGCCGGGAGAGGTGTGGCTAGGGTGAATGGACCGACACAAGCGTAATTTAACTCCTAAATGGCAGAGAATTGAGTAGTGAAACTTCAGAGTCATGATCTATACACAAATACTGATTAATTAAGCTAAAGTTGTTTTGGTGACTATAGTGTCCCTTTTTAATAAAACATCTGATAATGTGCATATTATTGTAACTAGTAGGCTAACATTTATGAATTTGCTTGAGTTAATTCGTCTTTGAATTACATGGATGTTCAACTCCTGAAACTGGATAAAATTGTGTGCTTAATAAGATAATGCTTGTGCCTCTTATTATGACAATAAAACCAATTTCACCCTTGACATACAACATAAGCAGTAAATAATTGGCTACTTTTGAAAATGACAGCATCCACAAGATTACCTAATTTTTTTTTTTTCCTATCATTTATATATAAATATTTCTTTCTTCATAAGGTCCATTTTGGATATGCGCCACTCTTATTTTCACACTGAGCATCAGTGGGAATCTGTCTAATTTTTTGCTGCATCGAGGCGAGTCCCATTATCACTACGTTCCTGAGTTTAGAAAAGGTGAGTAATCTGCCTGACTGCTAATCACTCTTACCCAGCTTATTTGTTGACACCAATGGCTGTATTTGCATTGGGTACATTTCATGACCAGAGCTATATTGGCTCTTTTTAAAGAGTGTGAAATTTTAATCCTTGTGCAACAATTTTACTAGTAAAAGCATAGATTGGGAGAAAATCCTACTTAAATATAGGGTTTTCTTCCATCTGGTAATCCATTCTTCAACATAAACTCTATTCCAAGTAATTGGTAAAGAAGATCTGAAGAGACCTCCCACAGATTGTCCTTATACCACCACTACCTGGCGCTGCCAGTATAGGAATGGAGTGACTGACATCACTCCGTTCAGATTCCGGCATCATGGTACCTAAGCCAGTGTGTCGGCAGTTTGCCCTGCTTGGGGACACTTCACTGCAAATCAGTGGAGAGAGCAGGAATAGCAAGGGCGGACCAGAGGTGGCGATTGCAGAAGTGTAACTCAAACCTCTGTTAGCTGAGATAAGTGGTGTCAGGTTTCCTTTAAACAATGTTATCTCAGTACAGCTCCATGTGAGAGGACAGTCTGGAGCCTAAGTGAATATGAAGTTATTTAGCCCAACATTAAAAAAGAACACTAAGATTAATAAAGCATCTATTTAATTTTTAATATTTGTGTTCCTTTTCATTAAATATTACAGTATTATCATTTATTTAGTGTCAACATATTCCACAGTACTTTGCAATTAATAATGGGGATATCGTAGAACAAGTAACTGACATACCTCATATAGATGTGACGAGGTGAAGAAGGCCCAGATTAAACAAGGTTATAAAATATTTTGTAATTAAAAATAAAAAGGTAAAACCTTTCGATCAGTGTGGATTTTTATTTTTATTTTATTTTTTTTTATTTATTTTTTTAGCCTAGCTAAGATTCCTGGAACATGCAGCCCAGATCTACAACCTATTCATTTAATCTGAAATTGCAGGTCTGCACAACGTGCCGAACCCCAGATGTTTTCAACTACAACGCCCATGATTCCCTGGCGATCTTTCATTCAAAGAATCATGGGCATTTGTATTTCAAAACATCTGGGTGGGCCGCAGGTTGTGCAGGCCTGGTCTAGAGTTTAGTTTGTATTGTATGTTAAATGATCGTCAATTATTTATTTTTTTTATTTTATTTTATTTTTTTTTCAAACTGCACCACATGTTGATACAATAGTTACATACAAACATGCTGTCCCCAGTTTACCCTGGTGTCTCTGTGTCTGGCTATTCCTTTGTGCCAAGTCATGCAGCATGTCTCTGTTTGTTTGTTTGCAGTGTCAATTGCTGCCACTGCAATTTATTCCTATGCCTGGCTGGTGCCACTGGCTCTTTGGGGCTTCCTGTCATGGCGACATAGCAAGGTGATGAGCATGGTGTCCTACTCGTTCCTGGAAATTGTGTGCGTTTATGGATACTCTCTCTTCATCTACATCCCCACTTCTGTGAGTGTCTCGTGCATTGGATTACATTGTTTAGGACCCTTTTTCTGTCATTCAGCTCCATAACTGACATTTTTATTTGTACATTATTCTATCCTTCAGTGTGATAATACATGCACACATAGTTATTTAGTGAAGTTTGGGTTGTATGGAAATCAAATTTTACACCAAGGTAACCAAACTGAAAACAAAGCTGACTTGGAGACTTTATTTTTTCATTTTGTCTATTAAAAAAAATAAACAAATTTTGTCTAATATTTGAATTTACATTTCCCTTCACTTTGAACTGTAGTTTAGTTTTTAATTATGGACCAGTGAGCTCTGTGCATTTTTGGTCCACATTTTCCCATCTTTCCCTTGTGTGGCTCTGCTCTAGCAGGGATTTAATAGGGTACTATAGTCAACAAAACAATCTTATCGATCATGTCTCTGAAGTTTCACTGATCATTCTCTGTCATTTAGGGATAAAGTAATTTTGTCCATGTAGCCCTAGTCACACCTCCTCTGGCTGTCGTCACAAGGGTCTCCTGCAAGGTCTAGAAGGATTTTAAACAGAGCAGGAGCTAAGAAAATCTAAATTAAGCAACATTTGCAATAAAGGAAGTGTAAACATTAGATCTCACTTTACAGGAAGTGTTTAGGAAGGCTGTGTAAGTCACATGCAGTGAGGTGTGCCTAACAAAGATATTTAACTCCTAAATAGTAGCGAATAGAGCAGTGAGTTTGCACAGGCATGATCTATACACCAAAACTGCTTCATTAAGCTAAAGGCGTTCTGGTGACTAGTGTCCTGTTAGGGGAGTAGTGTTTTATGTCATATCTGGGTTTCGTGGGCTTCTGTTAGTAAAATATCCATATGGGTTTACTCACCACCCCAACTCACAAGCCAATACAAACACAGTAGCAGCACCCATGTAAGCCATTCTGTCTCTTTGTCTTGCGGTGCTGCTCTGACTTTTGCTGCAGTATGAGTTTAGATACAGTCTGTTTGGGTTATTAACTACAGGGTCAACTGTCAAGAATGTTGACTTAATTTAACTTTAAATATAATATTTTAGGGCAAAGTAGCCAAATTGGGAAAAGAATCCCCACGTCTATGGTTTTCGGCCTAAAGTTTGAAATTCACACTGTAGTGAATAACTCTGAGTGTGTGATTTGCAGCAGAATGTAGAGGATAACAACAATATTTATTTGCGTTCTGTTCATAAAAGTGGTGCAATATGTAAAAAAAAAAAATAGTTGCCAATGGGATGTGTGCCAATTCCACTTGTTGACTTGGTGATTGCTCCACTTTTCCCACTTTTTAGAACAGAACACTTTGACATTGCCGTAGATTTATGGGGAAGATTTATTAGATCGCATAATATTATCCTATCACTAGTAGTAACTCTGCTGTACTTCCTAGCATTTTAGAGAATGCTAGGAAGGTGTTCTCATCATTAGGACATTGCATTGTGTTACAATATGAATTTTGTGGCCATTGCATGTCTGCTGCGGAATTGTTTAGATATTGTATATTCGAATCTCCCAAGATAATCACACTTGTACACATCCCGTGCATGGTATTATGACTATGTTCAGTCTGTTTTTATTATCTGCAGAGTTTAGGATATTTGTTTTTTAAAAATGCTTGTATTATGCTGGCTTTACCATGCTATTTACAGCAAGGTTCCCAAGTCTAGATTTTCAAAGTCATACAGGCTGAACAAAACATAGACTTCGTGATAATTGAATATCCCAGCTGGTGCTTTTCTCATTGGTACATTTTCCCCTGTCTTCAAGTATGGCCTTTAGTGTGTGTGTGTGTTTGTAAATATCCTTTTCTGACTGCATCTGTCTTTGTGTGTGTGTGTGTCTGTCTGTCTGTCTATAAAAAGTATAGCCTTTAAATGGACAGAATAATGTTCCTCCAGTTGACTTTGTGGGTGTATGTATGGCCACTTATGTTTCGACCGAGTCTATAACATCCTGACCTTTGCATTGGTTTAATCTGATCTTTTTCTATATCCATTTTAGGTCTTTGAGTAATTCTTGCTTTTGTCATACTGCCAGATAAGTCCAGTACACTCTCGGTTACCCTTTTCTATATTTCTTTCCCCGTGCAGGTGATGTGGGTAATCCACTCAGAGATTCTTCGCTGGGTCCTGATGAGTTTGGCAATATGCCTCTCTGGGTCAGTCCTCATGCTGACATTCTGGCCTGCTGTACGTGAGGATAACCGCAAAATTGCCATCGCCACACTTGTAACCATCCTGGTGCTTCATATTTTACTTGCAGTTGGTTTTGGGGTAAGTGATATTGAGAGAGAGAGAGAGAGAGAGAGAGAGAGAGATATATATATATATATATATATATATATTTCCTTCAACAATTACAAGTATGTAATATAGAAGAGCTGAACAGGCTAACATTGAGACCACTAATAATCCTTCATTTCAAAGTGCTCTCTTTTTCTATGCAATTAGGCACCATGTATTAAAAGTTGTAAATTAACCAGATCTGCTTTACTAATTTGTCATGCTGTCTAATAAGGTGCAATACTGATGATCATTTATTGAACACCTCTAGCAATTTATTTTAAAGCTAGTCCATGGAGAATGAATGTAACAGTAGAATTAACGGCAAGTGCCATCCACAGTCCAGCAAATGTACCAGAGGCTGGAAGGATGAAACTGCTTTCAAGCTGTGTGCACTTGCTGAAGTGCACTGCTGAAGCCTTCAGCTTTACAGATGTTGTCACATGCAGGTTGAGTCCATGAGATCTTGTGGCTGCTGGTTTTTTGTTTTATTTGGTACAGCTTGAGTATGACCAGGTCCGGTTGGACTTGACTTGAAATATATACTTGAGGTGAGGAGCCACAAGCAGTTTATCGGTCATCAACGTTTATTATCAGTTTATAAAGAGGTGCAAAAGCACATCTGTTAAAATCTAAAAACAATTACTCTTTATTACTAGTATTTGCTCTAATCATTTGCTAGTAATAATTGCTAGTCTTTCTTGTTCTAAAGTAGCAAATATTTAGAGGAATCTGATGGGGGTTTTTATTTATTTTTTATTTTATTTTTTTCTGCACGTGCATATGCTCAGCTTTCCAATTCCAATGCAGTACAGCTCAAAGAGAAGCCCCAGTTGGGCAAGCGTCATTGCTTGTGTGTACGTGGTCGTGGCTGCCCTTATTCTGACGTGCACACTGCTACATGGGGGACAAGACTGGTGCCTAACACACCTGCCACCTCTGTTAGCTTCGTGGAGCTAACAGAATTGAGAAGAAATCCTCCCTGGCTGTCTGAGCGCTAAGGAGAGGTTTCTGAAATTCGTTCTAAAAGTGCAGGTTGTGTGAGGACTCTCCCTTTTAATAGCAGTCAATTTATGTCCGGCATATCCAGAGATTAATTAACATTCACCTGAAAGAGGAATGCTATGTGTGGAAAAATTTGTGCAGTTACCTTGGTGTGTTTCTGTAGACCATCAGGGGCCATAGATTGTCTAAATTAAGGTCGGTACATTCATGATCTGAGAATCAGATGTTGTGTATTTACATTTAAAATTACTACCTTGGGCTCCAGATTGCCACTTTAAAAAAAATAAAAAATTACTAGATTCATGATTGGGACAATCCTTCACATGTGTCTAAATACTCATTCTCATACATGAATATAACATATATTCATATATGCTCTTTTTATTTGCAATGGAAATTCAGTGAAATTCCAAAGCATTATATATGCAGCTTTACATAAATGTTCTGCCTACTTGAAAAACTATGAATTAATAGGCCTGTATTGGCAATGGGCCTTGGGTAACCTTCCAAAGGAAATTTTTTTAAATGATCCCATCTGTTTCATAGCAAATAATTCAGAAATACATAGACAGATTTTGCTAAAGAATTTCATAATGATAAACAAAAACATGACCGGGCTGTTTTGCCATGAGTCACAATTTTGCTTAGTTTACTGCATACTAAAATAAGTTTAGGGCTCTAAAATATTTGGCTGCTTGTGTTAACAGGAAGATGTAACATGTCCTGAAAAGCTTGACCATCATATACTTAAAAGGAATTTGCTTCTCTCAAAACAGCTTCCCACCTGGTCCCAGTATGGTGGTGACTGAGCAAAGAAGGGAGAAATTAGGTGTTAAGCCATTCAAAAATGGTTTAATACTTTAAGGCAATACAGTGCCCTGGTACTCCATCCAACAAAACAAATTCATTGAGATGTAGTTTCTTTGCGGGTAGAAAGTCCCATTAATAAAGTGAGCACTGATTGTGTACTTTATTCAATATGTGTTTTTCTCTTCAATGCTTTAAATTTCCCTTTAAATTATTTGTCTGTCTAGGAGTATTTCTTTGATCCTCCTGAGAACGAACATATGGTTCGCACTGTAACGTCTCCTAATGCAACAAAAGGAACCGTACAGACTCACTGACTGGAGGTAATAGTTGGACTACACCATCTATTATCATCATAATTACTAACTGCATTTACACTAATTTACATATGTTTTATTGTCGTAATTATATGGTGGTCTTGGGAGTGACTTCAATCAAATGTAATAAGTTTACTCAAGCTTTTATTAGCGGGAAAAGTAACTAATAAAGAGGCTTAAAGATAATGTACATGCATTTTCCATAATGGTGGATATGACACATCCCAGATGTAACATTTGCTTGCGATGATTTTGATTTTTTTTTTTTTTTTACTGGTTTTTCAGGTTCCAACAATTAGGCTGAAGAGTCTAGCTTTATAAAACCGAAGATTATCCTCACACTGGACCAGTGAATCTGGTGAACGGAATGCTAAAGAGAGCTGCACTTCTGAAACGTGATCAGCTAATTTTGTTCCATAACTTCATGGAAAATATTGATCAAGTTAAGACACTGGACCATTTTTATTATTCTTATTTAATTTATTTAAAAGGACTTCAGTTAAATTGCTTGGTGTAAGCGGTGAAAAGGGAGGACTTTTGCATGTTGAAAATAATACAGGCCAGGGGTAGGCAACATTCCCATTCCAAATCTCGTCTACTACATCTTCCTGGATGCTTTGCCAGCATGATGGCTGTAAGAGAATTATGGGATATGTAGTTTACAACATCTGTAGTGGCAAAGACACTATTTACTTATACCTCAGCATCTAATGTGCTTTGAATGGTAAATGTTTGACTCACTTCTTGATTCCATTGCATATATATATATATATATATATATATATATATATATATATATATATATATATATATATATATATATATATATATATATATATATATATATATATATATATATTTTATAGCAGGGATGGTGATTGCCGCTTAAACTTTATTTACTTATCAAATATTAAAAGTAGGATCAAAATTTTAATTTTTCAAGACCTTTACCTTAAAGATCCTTTTACTACGATAACTCCTATTATAAATACTGTAGACTAAGAAACAAAGGGAAAATTAATAGACCTGTTAAGACCTCAATGTGTTCTAAGCACCTCCAAATAAAACTGTTTAACAAGCATGTTCTGCTGCTAAGGAAACCGAAACATACATTTATTTAACATTATTGCTGAATTTGTTTTGCCATGTGGCCAAAGCTATAAATTAGCCTGGCCAGACAAAAATATATGGGACCAAATTTATTTTTACTGTATACAGTTTGATCACTCAAACTAATGGTGATAAAGTTAATATGTATCTTATTAAAACTATTTAGATCTGTGTCCACATTACAATTGTTAACTTGTATAGTTAGATAGCCTCACTTCTGTACAAGGTGTTAGTTATCAATGTGCCTATTGAACTTGCCTACAGTTATTGAATATGGCTTTATAGAATGGAACTATGATGGCCCGATAGATTTATTTACAAGAAGGTTCTGGACTACCTTTAAGAGGAATTATAGGGGAAAGGGACATTTAAAAAAAAAAAAAAAAAAGTTATTACATTTTAAAATTATTCACAGATGCAGTGTTTAGTAGGTCTGCATGCAGCTATAGGCAGACGTCCCATTTAACTGAGAAGAGACCTCCAATAACTGTAAGTGTCACATTCTGCTCTGTGAGGTCTTTTCTTATTCTATTCACCTCTGTCCAGCAGCGATTTATGAGATAAGAAGTTCATCCACCCAAGAGCTGTTTGATAGCGACCATACCATGGCTGCTATTGGTTTATACATTGCCTGCTTCAATGTTTAATAAACAGGGTTATGTGTACTGATAGTGCTTCAGTCTCTGAATTGGTTTCTCGCTCTTGGATTGGACACTACTTTTTTTTTTTTTTTTTTTTTGAGGGGGCAAAATGTATGTATTTATTTTTATGAAACACTGATGTTTTAAGCCACTGGGAGGTGGTGTAGGGTATTCTCTTTACAATTAACTTATCAGATATGCAAAGTTGTGATGATGTGTAGACTGACCCTTTAACCCCTTAAGGACCAAACTTCTGGAATAAAAGGGAATCATGACATGTCACACATGTCATGTGTCCTTAAGGGGTTAAATATTGAAATATTTATTGATAGCTGTAGCTTGCTCTTATGGCTCATTTCCTCACTATCGCCACTCACATGAGTAATGATCTTTTATCATATATTATTGTTCTAGACCAACACCATTGTATTCATATAAGACTACAGTGCCCTTAATACTCCATCAGTCCTAAAATGAGAAGGGGGGGAGTGGAACGATAATTAATGCCTCTGAATGTGCCTAACTTAAATTTTTAGTTCATTCTGAACAGCAATCTATGCATGATGTTCTTGTTGTTTTGTTATTTGTTCATGTTGTATCCGCATATCATGAGTTCCAAATAAATTCTACAGATTACTTTTCATAATTCCTGGCTTTGCTACTGTTTGTGTTGTTTGTTTGTTTGTTTGTATTTACTTTTTACTTGAATTTTGATTTTAAAGTACTCAGCTGTGAAGGGATTAAACGTGTATTTATGTATGTTCTGGTGTAACTGACATTTAACATTCAGTTGCTTTATGAAGTAAATTGTACATACATGTTTGCCTGTGAGAGCCTTTTGTAATGTGTAACACTGTTAGTAATTAAAAAAAAAAAAAGTCATTTGTAAAGGGAAAAAATAAATGGGGGTAACATCTGGAAATAAATCTTCGTCTACCTGGGAGCATCCAGCTTTACTTGATTTGTGCGATGGATAATTCTATTACACTAATTCTATTTTCATGGATTATGGGTGTTTTACATAATTATGGAGGAATGGAAATGAATGCACAAGTTAATTATTCTCTAGGTTTTGTGTAGCACCTCACGGGAAGCGTGTCCTCAAATATTGCATGATTTCATCCATGGTCTTTGTCTACTATGTAATTATGGAGAGAAATGCCATTTACTACTTGGCACTGTCTCTTTCTGTGACATGTCACAGGATTCTGTGCCATCAGGAATGACTGTTGGCTGCATGGATTCATAGCTGAATCCAGTCACTGAGGAATGCATTGGGAGCAATGGCAAAAATATTCACTGGTTGTCCATTCAAATAAAGAATTATTGATGTCTGCAGAATTAGCATTGGTATATAAACCAGCAACAATTCTATTTAAAATACTCCCCAGACCGTAACCCATTTGTGCCATTATAATGCGTCACTACGTTTTGAACAGCATGGGCTTTAACGGTGTTAGAGCATGTAACGGATCACCTGGCACCCCGACTAGGTACTTACGTTGAAGGATGCTTCCTGAGGACTCCAAGCAATGCAGCAGAGACCACAACCACCGAACCGGAGAAGCATACAAATGCTCTCAAGCATTTGAATGCTGTAAGCAGCTGAACAGGAAAAGCATACAATCAGCTTACACTCCTGGCAATCAGCATACAATCCAATTCCCCGAATAACGAGGCGACACTTCGTTTTGAGGTCAAGCAGAACTGACTGTACTGGCACATACAGCCTCTTTTATTCACAAACATAGTACTGCCCACAGGGTTTTGAAATACAACCAATCAATCTGTACAATACACACAGACACTCCCACACAAAATCCTCCCCCCTGCCTGTGATATGATTACTGAACACAATTGTTAATCTAATTATCACAGGCAGATAAATACAGTATTATAAAACCTATCACAGGGACACCAAAACATGCAATAACCCCATAAAAGTATATCCTCGGAACCAGGGGATCTGGGTGAACCACATATCCAAAATTCACTCAGATATGTTCAGTAGTTTGGAAGATACAGTTTAATTCAGATTCCGCAGAACATATACAGGCTATATGAAAAATAATTACTGTATAATGTGTCCCCTGTTCTATAGTTTAAAACTACTGCACGATGTCTGTGTGCACCAAATACCGGCGAGATAGCACCGTGTAGAAAAGTCGAAACAGTGCCTGTGAGTTAAAATAGCCGCCATCCATTGTTCTCACCATGTGCCTTTGATACATGAAATGGTGGCCTTCATACAGTGTGAAGCGTGTATCCAAGTGTTCTTCCCAGCCAACTTTACAGAGGTAGCTGTAGTTAATAGTACTTGGTATGGACCATCGAATCTTGGCTCAAGAGTATGTTTTCTTAGGAATTTCTTGACCATAACCCAATCACTGGGTAGTAACTTTTGGATTCTAGATCTGGAATAGAAGAAAACACCTGTGCATGGATTTTGGTCAAGGCATGAGAGAGTGCAGTTATATAATCTACCATTGCATCTGACTGAAGTTAAAGTTGTTGTGGGAAATAACAACCTAACCTGGGTGCTGTCCCGAACAAAATCTCGTAGGGGGATAGGTTAAACTTCCCCCTTGGGGTATACCTTACACTAAAGAGTGCTATGGGGAGACTCTCCGGCCAGGGCAAATTAGTTTCCTGTGACATTTTTAGCATTCTGGCTTTCAGAGTGCCATTCATGCGTTCTACCTTACCACTACTCTGTGGGTGATAGGGTATGTGGAAAGCAAGGGTCACCCCCAGTGCTGCCCAGATTTCTCTGGTTAGTAATGCGGTGAAAGATGTACCCTGATCACTTTCAATCACTTCAGGGACTCCGTATCTGCAGACAATTTCGGTGAGTAGGTGTTTAGCGGTAGTCTTTGCGGTAATGTTGGCAACTGGGAAAGCTTCTGGCCACCCCGAAAACATATCCACTATGACCAGTGTGTACTCGTAATGGCCGCTCTTCGGCATTTGGATATGATCAATTTGGATCCTTTGGAAGGGATATTGTGGTTTGGCCAAATGATTCGGTGCAGCTTTGATTATTTTCCCTGGGTTGCATTTAGCACAGATAGTACATGACCGGCAGTAGTTTCGAGTTAGGGTTGTGATCCCAGGTGCTTCGAAATATTTATCAATCAAGGAGTTCATGAGTTGTTTTGACAAATGTGCTGGTCCATGAGCCCATTGGACAACAGCCAGGTACATATTCTTGGGTAGACAGAATTTGAGGTTGATTGTATATATATCATTCTGGATAATTGCTCCTTTGTCCTTCCAGCTTTGTTTTTCCTGTGGGGTAGCAGCGTCCTGTTGCTCTCTTAGGAATCTGAGATGAGTGGGTAGGGTTTGCAAGGTGTAAATAAGGGTCTTCTCATCGGACACTCTTCTATCCACTTCCCAATTCTGACGTGCTGCATCTTTAGCTGGTTATTCGGCCAGATGGTTACCATAGGCTTCTTCTGAATTCAATTTCCCATGGGCCTTGACTTTTAAAATCGCTACTTCTTCTGGCAGTAGTAAGGCGTCCATTAATTCGTTAATAGTCGCACCATGTTTTACAGGAATACCTGCTGCTGTAAGGAATCCTCTGGTCTTCCAGATTAAGCCAAAATCATGCGCTACTCCTAAGGCATACCTGGAGTCTGTGTAAATGTTGACACGCTTTCCTTCTGATATTCTGCATGCCACTGTAAGAGCTATCAGCTCGGCTTCTTGGGCTGATTTGGAGGAGGGAAGTGAGGATGCTTGGAGTATTTGGTCTTCTGTGGTGACTGCATACCCGGTATGGTATTGACCCTGTTCGTCTGCAAATCTGGAAACATCCACAAACAGTGTGCAATCATGGTTTGGCAAGGTGGTTTCGTGCACTATGGGAAGATGGGTAGTTTACATCTTCATCTGTTCAAAGCAATCATGTGGAGCTTCTGGGTCTGGTTCTGCAGGAGGCACATCTTCACATATCTATGCCTGATATTGGGGGTAACCAGTAATTTGGAGATAGAATGAGTCATCGAAGTAAAAATAATTATGCTTCAAAATATAATGAATGCTTTGAAGTATAAAATTTCGAAAATTTGATGGAACACTTTCATCCTTCTCCATGACTCGTTCCACTGCAATTAAACCTTTATGATGTTTAATAATTGTATAGAGAGACGAAACGTCTATAGTTACCCAAATAAAATCCTCTCTCCAGTTTATATCCTCTACTATCCTTAGAATATGTGAGGTATCTTTCAGATACGAAGGTGCCTCTTGAGCATATTTTTGTAGATTATGATCTACAAATTCTGATAAATGTGCAGATACCGAGTCAATGCCACTAATGATTGGTCTTCCCGGAGGTGTTATAGGGTTTTTGTGTAGCTTGGGCAAAAAATAAAAAATGGGAATTATAGGAAAATTATTAAATAAAAATTCCATGTTATTTTTAGAAATTATACCTTCTTCAAATGCCTGACTTAACAATACTTTGAGGATAGAATTAAACCTTTTTGTTGGATCTTCTGTGAGTTTTGTGTAGGTGTTTACCTCTCCTAAAATATTATGTGCTTCCTTCATATAATATTCTTTGGTCATGATGACTATGGCTCCACCCTTATCCGTTTCTTTTATGATTATGGATTCCATTTTTTGTAGTTTAGTTATACTTGCCGATTCTTCTTTACTCATATTATATTTATTTTTCTGACAATTGTTTTCTTTTTCCAACTTTTCCAAATCATGACACACCATATTATTAAAAGTCTCCAAAAAGGGACCTCTATCTCCCACTGGGTAAAAATTAGACTTTCTTTTAAATAAATTTTGTTTTTTACTGGGGATCTCACTAGATGTTAAAGAGGCTTCTGTATCCCTTTTTAGAAAGAATCTTTTTAATGTCATTTTACGTATATATTTTTGGAGATCTATATATGTGTTGAAATGATTCATCTTCTGATTTGGGGCAAATTTTAATCCCTTATTAAGCGCTTTTAAATCACCTGTTGATAATTCTATATTAGTTAAATTATAAACTCCATATTGTTTTTCTAGTTCCTTTTTCTCAGGAAGTCCTCCCTCCGGGGATCTTCCTCTGACCTCTTTCTTTTTGGTGGCGTTACCTGACTTTCTCGTGGGGTTTTCTTGATGATGTATCGGGGTTTGAAAAATTGAGTGATTCTCCCTTTCTTTGTGATTTCCTTGGCTATTACTGGCCGCCTGTGCATAAGTTCTTTTTGGTGAATAACAATAATTTGGAGAGATAGACTCCTCCCTTTCCCTCTGTCTAGTGTGTCCTGGTGCCTTTTTTAAATTTTGTGATTGTCTATTTGGGGAGGGGTACTTTTTTCGATTCATTGGAGAAAAGTGCCTATTTCCATCATTTAGTGGATACCTAGCGTGATTAATTAATTTGTACCGTTTATTTATAGGGGAATCAGCATTTCTTTTAAATCTATTCCCATAATTAACATCAGAAATCCTTGTTTTTCTTTTAAAGTGATTATTATATGTGTGTCTATTTTTAATTTTATTTGCTGTGGAAAAAGTGCTAAATTTTTTATCATTTCTATCTCTCTTCATTTTGCTATTTTTTGTTTCTGCAATTTTTTCTTCTAATTGATTAATTGTTGTACAAATTTCTTGTTCCCTTTCTTTATATCCAATCTGTTCCCTATTAAGGGTTCCCTCTGTTTCCATTATCTTAATATCACTTTCAGTTTGATCTCGACTTTCTTTTTCAAATTCAATTATCAATTTCATAAGATTTTGTGAGCAGATTTCCAGTATCTGGTCCCACTTGCTCAAAAACTCTTTATTATCTATCCCACATGCTGGAATTTTTTCCACCCTTAATCCTCTGGGGATTAAACCTTCCTTAAGATAACTCTCTAAATAGGATATTTCCCACCACTTTTTAGTCTCTTTTACCATTACAATGTTTGGGTTAACCTGGAATGATATTTTTCCACTGACTCAAGTTCATCTTGTATGATATAATTTATGCAAGTTGCCTGGTCAGCTAGTTTATCCTAAACCCAGGCTTTGAGTTGTTCACAGAAAACAATATCCGACTGAAAATCTGTATCAGTTGTGAGTTCAGCATCATTAAAACTCCTTTCCATAACTGGCCAATAGGCATCCCCAGCCTTGATCTCACACAAACTATACAAATCACGCCAAGCTGCTGAGTATGTTTTACGAATCTGAGCAATTCTTCGGAAAAAGGGCATGGGTTGTTTCTTTGGATCGGGGAGGGAGGCTACCAGGGTCGCAGCTTGGGATGGGTTAAATGTTACATACATTGGTGGGGCTCCTTCCACTGCTGATGAGGTAGGAAGGTGAGCAGCTGCAATAGTTTGTCTTTGGGTAGGTCTGTTATTTGAGGGACGGAATGGGCTAAGCTCCGGCTGCGACTGGGAGACCATGATAGCTGACAACCTCAAGTGAGTTGGGGACCGGGGCCATCGGGGTGTCAGAACCGGGAGGGCCAACAGCGATAGTCTGTGGGGTGACCAACTGAGATGTAGTGGGATGGAAACCTGAGGCAGCAGGGGAAGCATCAGCAGCTTGAGGTTGTCATGATGTGACAGACTCATTTGTCCCAACAATCATGAGCAGATAACTGGGGGCGTTTATTGGAGGGGAAGGAACAGGGACCAGAGTGGGTGAAGATGCAGGTTGGGTAAGCTGAGACAGGTGGTTGGAGAGGGAGGAGATGAGTGACGCGAGATCGTGGGTAGAAGCAGTAGAGTTAGAGGCAGGAGGGGGAGAAGGATCTGAAACAGAAACAGGAAGAGCAGGTTGTGGAGAAGGAGGTGGAGGGGGAGGAGGAATAGGTGGAGTAGTGAGCGAAGCCAGGAGGGTGGAAATGAGTGACGTAGCATTGATATCAGAGGGAGGAGGAGGAGGTTCTAACATGGGGACTGTAGAAATGGAGGGGGATGGAACAGTGGGAGTGGAGCCAGGGGCGAGGAGAGTGGTGAGGGTGGAGATAAGGGATGGAAGATCACGAGGGGAGGAGGGAGGATCCACTATGGGGGCAGGAGGAATAGGAGGGGGTGGAGGATCAGAGGTGGTATTAGGAGCAAGAGCAGCGGTAAGGGCGGAGATGAGTGATGAAAGATCAGGAGGAGGAGATTGTACCGGTAGAGGAGAAGATTCTGGAACAGGTGTAGGAGAAATAGAAGAGAGTGGGGAATGGGGAATGGAACCAAGAGAAGTAGCAAGGGCTGAGATGAGAGGGGAGAGATCGGGGGAAGGAGAGGATACAAGAGGTGAAGGCAGTCAAGCTATAACAATAAATGCGTTCTCTGCCCGCTAGGCAGTCAAGCTATAACAATAAATGCGTTCCCTGCCCGCTAGGCAGTCAAGCTATAACAATAAATGCAAGTCATACACCAGCTGTCACACACACACATGCGCAATTTTCAGGAGGCAGATAGACAATCGACAGGTTCGTTAAAAAGGCACCGGATAAGAGATTACCTGTCTTGTAGCCTTCTGGAAGCCGGAAGTGGACGCGGAGGCAGACCGACACAAAACAGGAGAATACAAGCAAACTGCTGTATTTGGAGGTGATCAGGCTCCGGTCGTCCTACTTTCCATCTCGTTAATGAGCTTGTTAATCAATGTTAGAGGGGAAACTCCCTAGCGGCCATTTTAGATAATCACTTAGAAAGTTGAATAATGCTGATTGTAGTTATGTTGAGTAAATAGACATTTTACTAATATATATCGGGTTAATATTTCTGACCACAACACCCATATTTTATAAAAAATAAATTATAGTAAATTATATGATGAAAATAATGGTATTTTTAGAAAGCCCATTTAATGGTGAGGGATAAACAGTATATAATGTGTGGGTACTGTAAATGAGTAAGAGGAAAATTACAGCTAAACACAAACACCACAGAAATTGAAAAGCGGTCTGATCACTAAGGGGTTAAAATGTCCTTGTAGATTGGTAATTTAAATTAATAAAAACAGGTGCAGATTTCTTAAATGACTTTAAAAAAAACAAAACATTTTATATACTCTACAATCAGACTTTATATGTTCTAAAACAGAGATCTGACCTTATGTAAAACATGAGGAGCAAAACACAGAATATTTTTGTAGCTGTATCTTATTTACATGTTGTCATCCCTGTACAGTGATCTATGCACATTCTTTCACTTATTGTCCGTTATGCATCTTGTCTTTCAAATAAGTTTATAAATCTTTGTTACTAATTATTAGTAAAATGCTCTTTGCTTAAGGGCCTCTTTCTGTTATTTTTCTTAATTCTGGTAAAATGCTGCATACTGTCAGCCGTGTACTATTTATAGACTTTTTGCCTTGTAGCTAAAAGGTTTGTCTGTTTAGGTGACTACCATGTCTTTGTATATCGAGATACTTGATGTGAATTTGAGAAACTAAAGTATGGTAATTCAAGTCTGGCATGCAGTGTCGTATTAGGATTTAACATTGCATCAATTAGTAACAACATCAGCATGATACCCAAAGAGCATCCCCTGTAACCAGGCAGAGGAGATATTCGTTAATGTCCGTAATTCTAACCACCTCCTGTAAACGATGCTATCAGCCTGGATGGGGTTTCACAGCCCAGGTTCGTCAAGTGTAATTATTTAAGCAAGCTCCAGTACTTGCAGACAAATTCACCAAATTGCTACGAAATGAATTCATCACCTACCAGGTAAGCGTTTATTGCTTCCCACCTTAGACTTGGTAGTCTGGGCACCTATAGCAAAATACTTTTTTAGATTTTATTTTGAAGGGGTCATTAGTATACAATTTTTTATTTTTTTTACTTGGAGAGGGGTTTAGATTAGTGTGGGGGAAAAAATGTAATTCTTTGTTTTGATATTTCAACTTCTCTCATGCTGACCAGTGAGAGAGAGATTTTTTTTTTAATTGTACTATATGTATCCATAATTATCAATAACTCCTAATTAAAGTTAACTTGTTTTACCTTTGTTTTGTGTTACACTTTTTTTAAATTAACATGGATAGATCCTGCTGTTCCTAGCTATCTTTGACACATGCTAGATGTTTGTGATCTAAATTTCCCATGGATAATGGATTGTTAATTCCTAACTGCTGGTGAGCATTACTGGAAATGCTGTTTAGAGTCCTCTAAGGTGCCAAATTTAGCCCTCACCGCACAAACCTGTAGAGCCGGTTATTCAGGTCACACAAATCCTAACATTGATTGGATGGTAACATTTATTGGGAAAAATAGATGGAAACCATTGAAGTTTCAGTCCATCCCAACTCAAAAACTAGGTCAAAGGGGAAATATGGCTCAGAGTTATTGGGGAAATAATAGAGGCTTATTCAATAAAACACACATATCATGTGTTACAGAGAAATATGAATTGAAAGGGACTTGCACAAGTTAGGGGAAATTGCCATTAAAAAAATTTTCAAAAAAAAAAAATCATTACATTTGCTCTGTAAGACTACCCTTTCTCCCCAACCCGCAGTTTCCCTTTTTGCTGAACTTAACTGCAACTCCCAGAAATCCTGCCTGTGCCCATGAACCATTGCTTATGGGATTAACTCAGCAATGATATAAAGGGTTCAGCATTTTGTCATTATGCAATGTGTGAGCTGTAGTGGTTATACTGTTTCTTTAAAATTGAAAATCGTTTTTGCAATTTGAAGTCAGTCATTTGCAGTCAGGAAGGACTTGCACCTGGGGGAAAAGGTGAGTAAAGTGTATTTTTAGGTTTGGGCAGGGTCTACTGGCATTGTCGAGTTAAAGAAACACTTCAAACTTTAGAAATCAATATCTGTTTTAACATTGGAGTCTTCCTTCAGGGGCTCATTGTTTCAGCCCCTTTACCTTCAGGTCATATGAAAAGTCTGGTAATAGAACTCAAACATTGACTGGATGGTGTTGCACCTCTGGCAAGAGACTAGAGCCCAGTCGGAGAATCTTAATCAACTATGGCCTATGTAATCTCATTTGGATTTTTATTCATTACAATTTCTGTGTATTTTATGTATATATGCTTGTATGTTAATGCATGTACATTATATGAATATCTGTGTATATAATTATGAAGATAAGATTAATTTTATATATAAATTAAAATACAACATATCAATATACACGATAAAGCGTAATATCCAGAAATCCTATAAATTAAGTAAATATTTTAAAAGGGATTCTATAGTGTTAGGAATACAAATCTGTATTCCTTAAACTATAGCTCCATCTGACCACCCCACCCTTGCGCCCCCCACCCCACCCCGGCACTGTAAGGGTTAAAAACCCTTGTAACACTTACCTGATTCCAGTGCCACTTTCCTTCGGCGCTAGGCTGGCGCTCCACCACCTATGACATCATGCGACAGTGGAGGGGGGGAGAGTAAATACACACTTACACATATATCTATATATATATATATATATATATATATATATATATACACAATGCACTCTGACACACACATTTACTAACACATACAAACTCCCTGATCCATACACAAGCACCGTAAAATATCTGACACACATTTACCTATAAACACACACCAGCTACACATTCTTCAGGCACAGAGTGTCGGCCGCTGGAGTAAAATATCATGCTGTATCTAAGGGCCCTTCTGAGACTAGTTGCTGTTGCTTCTCTTACCTCCTTATTAAATTTATTTAAAAATAAATACATACATTTTTAACCACTGCAGCGACCAACAGCTACAGTTGGCCATAGCCACAAGGCCTCACCGGATTTTCATAAACACCCATTTGAATATTATAACTATACCATCAGTTAAATATGTACATAACTTCCAAAAAACAAACAAAACAGCAGTGGTAAAATTTAATACCATATATGAAGACGTACAATTCATTACATATGTAGCAGGTTACATATACCACCAATGTGGATCTATTAGAAAAGAGGAGTATTAGGATAGAAAGGAGAGACAAAGTGAACTGTTCTACTCATATACACACACCAAAATTAAGAGCTTCCAGAAAAAAAATAAGGAAAAAAAAAAGATGGATTACGGCTCAAAATTTGGACATTTTAATTGGTATACCTTGAATAAGGATTCACACATGGACTTAGTTTATTAGTGAACACTGGCAGATTTAAAGAGACACTGCGTAAATACTAAATAATTACTGTTTCATTTATATACCCCTAATGAAAACATTCATGCATTTAATGTTTTTCATTGGGAGTATGTATAAAACAGTTGTTAAAGCTGCAGATCTCTTGTCTGCAGCCTGTGCAAGCCCTACCCATTCTTCCCAAGCCTAGACTTTCTGTGGCTGTCCAATCACAGGCTTCCTAATGAAGCTCAGTGAAAAGTCTTTGCAAGGCAGGTGTCCTGAGCAATTGCTGCCTCTTGAGCTTAGCACCACTGCGCTAAACTACCAGGAAGTTACAAGACCAGTTGTCTGATTGGTAGCTTTTAATTTATAAAAGTGCTATTTCGATTAAACTCTGCGCTTTATGTAAAAGAAAAGAAAAAAAAGATGACGCACTCTTCACAAGTGTGTGGAGTATTCCTTTAATATGTATGAGGCAAATATAAAATCCAGTTGCCATGTAAGCAAATAAAACATCTGTGGCGAGGTAGAAATATAATTGAGTAATTCAAATATCATGAAATAGTTTTAATTTATTTTTCAGAACCTCTTCCACTGTGAGTCTTCCTGATATTCCCAGGTATCCTCAGCTAAAGTCTTACATGCAATCATATGAAGTAAGCAGGTTTTTGCACAAATGTCAAAAGGAAAGAGACGACGCATTTCGCAGAGAGGAATCTGCTAGAGACAAATTGAAGCATATTGAAGCCACCACAAGATGCCAGATCCAAGATTTGAAGACAAAGGTGAAGCAGTTGACCAGTGAATGTAAAGCTTTGCAGAGAACAGTGAAGAAACTGCGCACAGATCTTGGTCTTGAGGGGAATCCCAGATTCAAAGGCAGGATGACTAAAGATATTATAAAAGAGCTTCAGGAACGGGAGGATCAATGTGCCTGTCTAAAAGAGGATAATAGCCTGCTTTCTGTGCAGCTCAGAGAAATTGTCTCAATTGTTGCTCAGACCCAGAAGCAAAAAGGAGAACTTACAAAACAGCTTGAGAACTCAGAACTCAAAGTACGGGACCTGCTGAATGAAAACAACCAGATAGTGCAGAACCTGCAGGAGAGTCAAAGGGAGAAAGATGATTTGGAGAAGATAAATCTTATGCTAAGGAAATCAATAGAGGAGTCCAAGAAGGTTACAAACCGGTCAGTACAGACCACTACATCCATTCCAGTGAACTTACAGAATACCTACAAGAAAACTTCCCGGGAGACTTCCATCTCACGGACATCCCAAGTTCCACTGGACAGGAGAAAGATTACATTGGAGCCTAGTAACATAGTATCAGTTGTTGATAGTGGTGTGTAAAAATCATACAATGGCTTGAGTGGGAATCGGATTGGAAGGTAGATTGTTTTTTTTAAAGTCATTTTGTTTTCTTCTACAATGGGTAGAAGAATGCACTTAGGCTTGCCTATATCCACAACTGTTTTATTTTTCTCTATCTATCTATCTATCTATCTCTGCAAAACCCGGGGGAGTTCACCAAAAGTAGGAGTATTAATATGAGACTGATCCTAAAAGGTCTGTGTTTGCAGACCCATTTTGCATTATAACTAAGAATTGAACATTGGCTACTTCAATGCAGTGAGATCACAAAGCATACATGCTCCTGTTTCTATCTGTTCACTTGGATATGGGATTAAACACACAATTGCAGTGAATAAAACAACTGAATTGGAAAATATCCGCTAACATAGCAAAGCTGTGATTTTTCCAAATCAGCTATTTTTGCCTAAATTATTTACTTTGGTTTATAATCCACTATAGCTTACAATGCAACCACCGCACTTTCCAAGTAGAAGCCTAAACAGGCATGTCCACGACATCTAGAACACCTACATCGATCAACCACAACTGTTCTAAAAAGCGGTCTCAAGAACTAAAAGTGGGAAAATAGTATGGAAACCAGCAGGCACACTAAATTGGTGACTCTTCCCTTTGATGGTTTTGCAAAATGTCTTTGAACAGGACACTTTGATAAATCCCCGCCACTCACTACAGAAACCTAGAATCTAGAATTACCTTCATACATTTAGAATGTTTGATCCTTATATAACACAACATATTGGCTGCTACTCCTTTGGACACACTACAAGTTTTAAATTATTTTAAAATGTATATTTATTTATTTTTTTCAGACTTGTGCTATGCAGCTTCACTTTATTATTGAGGTTAGACAGACTGACCTTGAGCCTGAAGGCAAGCAGATGTTCTTTTATAATGTTTAATCAAATGTGTTGCTACATTTGAAGATGATTTGTCAGCAAGATGTTTAAGATGTGAATATTCCTTCTCAGTTTGTCCCCTGAAATTGTTTTTTAAATTGCCAGGAGAGGTCAGATTGATGCTGAAGTTATATAGTTTAACCCCTTAAGGACCAAATTTCTGGAATAAAAGGGAATCATGACATGTCACGTGTCCTTAAGGGGTTAAAGCCCAGTTTTCATTTCTTTATTGTAAAACTTGGCAACGGCAAAATTCAGAAGAATAAAATATTTTGACCAGGTTTGTTCCGTCATGTCCCACCAACTGATGTTTGAGTACAATTCACACAATAAAGAGAATTACGGTTATTGTAGCCCACTTGAAAACAACCGTGCAGTAAAATTAACCTAGGACTAACATGTCATTGCAATAACAGATTTGGTATTTTCACTTTGAGTTTCTGACAATTCACAAATTAGTTAAAGAATTCCTTCAAGCACCATGACCACTTTAGTGTTTTGAAGTGGTCATTGTGCTTGGAGTCTGAAACGCTGCACACACAGATCTAGCCCTTTGCTGCCGGATGTGTATCTCCATCTCTACAGGGTGATTATGGTGTCATTAGCCAGATGGAACAAGAGATCCATGCTGGCTTATGTCAATTCTGTGCATGTTTGACGTCTGTTGTCTGCTGCTTACCTCCGATCCTGTCCTGACAGTTTTTTGTTTTGCTTTTAGTAAGGGGAGATCAGTAAGACTTATTATAACCTAAAACCGTGTTTTGTTAAAATACAGTTTTTGGTTGGAATAATCCTTTAATAACGTTGTTAATATTAGGTAATGATGAGATTAGTCTAAAGATAAACATCTTACAAGTGTTTTTGAGTGATATTTGATTAACTGATAATGTGTATGTCATTTATGTCAAAATCAAACGATAAAGAGAACCCTTGTTATAGAATTTATTCCATTCTGCAGTTTTACCAAGACATTTTCAATTCCTTTGTAACATTTCTATAATTACTGTTTCAGTGAATAAACGTTTGAAAGAGGAACAAACCCAAAGCCATTCAATAAACAATAAATAAATCATAGTTTCCTTATGAAGGAATATTGTTGTGATCCTCGTAATAGATATAACAAAACAAGTGATTATTGATGTAAATAAAACAATGTTTGTCCAACATAACTTCTATGGAAGGAAACCCAATATCTCACATTGCTTCATAGCACCCAAGGCCACCGAATATACACTGAAACCTCTGGGAATTTGACACTTATCCTGACAAGTTGAACCAATGGGTCAGAGCTAGGTCATGTCAAAAATATATTACTTCATGATGCTACATGACATTTCAAAGGCCAAGAAATACAGTTAAATGCGTCTTCATATTAATATATTTATCCGCACCTGAACGCGAAAATGTGACTATACACGGATGATCTAAACACAACAAATAACAGTATTCATGTTTAGTTCTGTTAATAAAGTGCTTTATTCTCAGAGTGGATATTATTAGCAATTTGTTTTCTATAAATTACAAATTGTAGTGAATTAAAATCCAAAGCAGCAATTACACGATGGAACAAGATCACACTGCCCTGACCAACAGCACATTTACATTGCATTCCCCCTAACTGGCCAGAATTTCAGGTTCAGTCCCATCGTCCCAACTTAGTTCCCTGGTGTTTGGCAGGTCCGCCATTTTTAGAGTGGTGCCAATGATGCCATCACACACCTCTCCCAATCTCATTCAGCATCTCTAGTCAATGGATGCCAGAGTTGGAAGGTATGACATTGTACTGAGAAAAGCCGTCAATACCTGGCACATGGTTCTATTCATAGAACATTCTGCTGGGTGTAGCAACTGATCTTTAGTTGGGTAAGTGATGCTCCTGACTGAGGGTCACTTAAAGAAGACCTGTCATTTTGCAGGTTTTAGTTTTAAATTAATCAAGTATAGCCCCTTTATTTCATCTTGATTTTTCTTTTTTTTTTAATTTACCTTTGTTTTTAATAAAAAAAATTTTTTTTGTTTTCGTCGTGCAGGTGATTACAAGACAATGTCAAACGCCAGAACAGTGTACATAGATAAACACAGGTTGAACAGTGGCATGAATAATTGCACATTTTCCTTTTTTTTTATTTTGGCATATGAACAAGCTGAACGTAAAGCTTAAGTATCATAGAATATAAACGTAGTATTTGAGGCGTTTCGCTCCAGAGGGAGTTAAGACGTGTGTGGTTTAGTATTTGCGCTGGAGTAGAGAATGCCAGCTGCCTTTGCGACCGACATGTAAGCTTGAAGGTAGGTATATTAGAGCAAGGTCACCATAGACTATAACCCACAGTGCTAAAATAGGGTTGATAAATCAAAGTGGGGGTGTTGTGGGTGGGGGATAAGGGTAGTATGGGGGATTATACCCCATTTGCCAGCAAGTACAGCTAGGCCATACAAAAAGGTAAGCCTCAAGGGGCACTCAACTTATTATAGCTTGAGAGAAAGAGCATATAAAATAAACGAGTAAAACTTAAAGCATGAGTGATAACAGTAACATTAATATTGACATTGAGGGGCAATATAGGTTGCCTGCAGGCTGTGGTCACGGTATCACTGCCGTTGCAGGGCTCTCTCAGCGCAGCTGGGACAAATGGTCGAACTCTGTCAGGGTCCCAGGACCTCTGCGGTTGCGATGTCGTTGGATGAGGCAGCTCTGCTGCGTCAGCTCTCAGTCCCAGCATGTGAAGGGCAGCAGGGATCTCCGAAGCATCTGTAATCCTTAAAGTCCCAGAGTCTCTAGGGATGATCAGGCATCGTGGAGTGCCCCACTTGTATGGCACTTTGTGGGTAGCAAGCTCCTTAGTTAGGGGTCACAAGGCTCTCCGCCTGTCCAACGTGGCCTTCGAGAGATCTGGGAAGAACGTTAAAGTGCGGTCTTCAAACTTGTAGGGTGATTTGTTGCGAACTACTGTCATGAAAGTCAGGCGGTCTTGCCCATTCTGGAAGCAGATAATGACATTTCTGCTGGTCTCCGCTGTGGTTTTGGGTGAAACAGGTATTCTTCTGTAGCAGCCATCCAACAGCATAGCTTTAGCTTGTTTGGCATTAAAGAGATTTAACAGCATACTCCTGAAGAAGTGTGGACTTTCAGCAGCCTCTATGTTGTTAGTTAGGCCGCGCACCTTCACATTCTTCCACCTTCTACTGTCCTCCATAGTTGACATGCGGCCTTGAACCAGGACGTGTTCACGTTGTAACGCCTGTAGTTTGTTTTTAAGACTGGTAAGCCAAGTTTCGTGAGCCGATGTGTTCCTCTCGGAACTGGCCTATGTCGGACGTGATATTGCGTCGGAGTTCGCCCAGGAGGTCTCAGATGTTCTCCATTACAGGGGGGCTACCAGTAGGTGCAGGAGGCATCTACATGTTGGCTAGCCGTCCCCAAGCCTGTTAGGAAAGCCTCGCTGGATGATCGGGAGAGCTTGTCAGAGTAAGGCGCCATAACAGGTCTCTGTGGCCTCCACAGCAGCTCCCCGATGTTGTCGTCGTTGGGTTTTTTCGGGTCGGTATTTCTTATTTTTGTGACCCATCGTCATGAGCAAGGTTCCCCTTGAGTTTGGGAGCCTTTGGGTGAGTAAAATCCTCATGTTTCTGCATTTAGGCTCGGTTCTACAGGGAGCACACCAGAAGCACGTCTGCTCGGCTGGGTTACTGGCTCCGCCCCCTTCGATTTTAATTTATATATAAGATAAAATAGACCCTACTTTTTTCTTACTGGGAGCATGATCTTTGGCAATGGGTGAAGCTTATTTTTCCATTTCAGTTCCTAATTTACCCACTATCCATGATTACAACATATCCTACAGAAGGACAAGAAAAGAAAATGTTATAAGAACAAATAGCATTAAATAAAAAAAGAATATGGGAAGCAACCATTCTGCAAGTGTGAAGAAAGTATCATTAAAAGACATAAGAACATAAACATAGAAGGCATGCTAGAAAAATTTATTAAAAATTCCCAATACGCTCTACTAATAGGGGACACAAAAGGAAGGGGCACGGTGAGGGAAACTTAGCTTAAAGGAACACCTTTATTACCTTTATTGCAATCTAATGTTAAAAAGGAAATAGACCAAAATATGCTTAATATTGAAGGTGTAAGTCTAATTGAGTTCCTTTGGAACAGCCTGCCTACCCCTGTCAGACTTTCCCCTAGTCTTCAATCCTTTAGGAAGTCCCTCAAAACCCATCTTTTCAGGAATGCTTATGGCCTCCAAGAGTAACTTCTATCTCTCAAACCTTCCTCTCGCTCTCTCCTATAGGGCCACACTTCACTCTCACCTCCAGTTCTGCTACTTTACCACCATGTCTATCTCAATACCCTTCCTATTGTGTTTTTATACACCATCTCCTCTAGACTGTAAGCTTGTTTGAGCAGGGTCCTGTTACATTTTGTTATTGTCTCGTTTGGTAAATTCCCCTTTTACTGTAAGGCCCTGCAGAATAAGCTGGCGCTATATAAATACCAATAATAATATTCAACCTTGGGTCTCTAGCCTTTATAATTACAAATAAGTCACCATAGGCAAATGATTAGTTTTCTATAACATCCTTGGATGCCAGAAGACGGTAGACCAAGGTAGATTCCAGGATCTCTTTCCTAATGTTGGGCATACAGGGGTAATACTGTGTATGTATTCGAATTAGAGGAGGAAATATTATCCTGCTCCAAGGTTAGAAGGCCTAGTTGGATCGGCATGTTATGGTAGGAGTCAAAGTCGTATTGGCTGCTTCCAGTCTCTCTAATCTGCTATTTATGTGGCCTATTGAAGACAGTACAGTTGACATCATAGCATGTAATTCTGTCATATTACTTGAATTGGTCTTTCTCCTGCATTAGTATTATCCGTATTAGTTTTCATTAGGAGTAGCCGGGAAAGGAATATTTATTTTCTATAATTCTGCTTTGATTCATGGGATCATCCAAGGTTTTACAGAACTTGGACTTGCAGATTCTTGTCTCCTAGGTACTGGACTCAATTGACAACAAATTGAAGTGAACAAGTAATATGGAAAATGATTCCTCCCGTCTAAAAGGAATGTATATTTAATACTAGGTTATAGGTATAACGATTAACGGTTTAAAAAAAAAAATGTATTAGAAAGTTGTAGTTGACGTACCTGTGAGTGGTTATAGAAACTCTGAGATTATCCCGGCAGGGTTGACTCAGCCCTTCATCCTTCGGAGGTAGATAAAATTAGTACAATTAAATTGGGTAATAGTAACAACTCCTGGATGTTGGGCTAAGTTAACATCCCCATGACGTACTTGAAAACCAGAGTAATCTGAATGTACTTTTCCTGGTTAAATACCTTGTTATTATTACTATTATTAGAGCGCCAATTGAGTCCCTGCCCAAATAGAATGAATAATATATACAGTATTCAGGTAAAAGGATCTGTTTAAACAAGCCTGAATAACATGGTTCATATATATTTAAAAGCATAAGTAATTGTGGGACCTACATAGCCCCTATTACAGGAACCGGAATACCAGGAACCTAATTTCTGGTTACTACGCACGTTGGACTTGTATGACGGTAGGAGTTATATGACTTGTCCTAATCATGAGTTAAACCTATTTTTTTTATAATTCGACGCGAGAAGTATAACATCCGACCAGTGAAATACTCTTCAATTAAGAACTTTTATATATCCATGCATACTAAAACGTAACCATATGACAAGCAATATTAGCAACAGAGAGAACACGAACGCAAAATAGCAAGTTCCTTTATTCAAGTAATAGCATTCAATCCTGTGAACATCGCATTTTACCACTAGGTGGCGCCAGATACCAGTGAGGAATAAATGACTTGTGGAATGAGTGGGTTATTTAACAATCGGTTACCCATTTATTGCTGCACATAGTTATGACCACTGATGAACTTCAAGTACTGTGAGTCACAATTTAGTTGTTTTAGTGATTAGGTATTAGCCTTATGTTGACTATAACTCCCTGCCCCGAGAAGCACTATTTGTATATGGAATTGTGAAATCGGCTACTGAAGCCGATTGAAATATGATTCATTCGGGCGAACGAGAGCCTGAAAATTAACTCGCAACTTCAGCAAAAAGCGGAAAATTTTAATTCCGGCGCAACCCGTGAGAACAAACTTTTCAGTGTACAGAGATTAGTTTCCTGTTAGGTGACCTTTGCTGCCCAGAACATGCGAAACCCTGAATGGTTGGAGTGTGAAGGTGTGTTGAGGTTTGTGTCTGAAGTGACTCCGTGGGTGTAATCCTGCAAAACGGAACCGGAAGTAATGGAAGTCCTGCCGCACTGAACCGACACGTGCAGCTGATCCCGATACGGTTTGAGGTCTGAGGTGGTGAGCAGCTTAAGTAGCTGCAACTAGCCCCTCTCACAACTTCAGGCTCTCTCCTTTTAATATATGGCAATGTGTTTACCTACCATGTACAATTGACTCTATTTCTCTCACAACTGTAAGTGTAATACTTATCTAAAAGCTTTTGCCTTGACCTGGCAGGTGAGCATCCACCTAATGGCCATTGTGCATTGGGATTCGGGATATTGCGCAAGTAACTTTATTTTTTGTTTTTTTGTTCTGTATTGGGCTGATGTGTACTATAGTTATTGCTGCCACCCAGGAGTAGTGGGAGTTTGAGCGCAGATCTTAATTTTGTATGTTGGTATAATAAATGGTCTATTAACTAAAAAGTGAACTGAGATGAATTGGTAAGGAAACAGCAACAACTAGGCCATGGTAGTTGTTGAACTGTAGAACTTATCAAGTTTTGTTATTTTGGCCTAATTTTGCAATTCCCTTGCAAAGTCACCACAATTTGCTATTTTACGGGTTATTTCATAAAGTGTCAAGAATTCAAACTTAATTTAAAAATTAAAGCCAAAATAGCCAAACTGTATATTCTCCAAGTTGGCTATGCTTCCTAGTCAGCTATGTTTGGTGATGACAAAGTGAATTAGTTTGTAATAACCCTTCTCCATAGTGGGAATCTTGATTCAATTTCCCTTCACACTCACATACGGGTTCTATACCAACCAACATTTGGAGGTATGCAATCAGGTTGGGAGGGAGGGGCATATCCCATGATTCAAAAAGTTAGCCCACCTTGACACACAGTGCTTTGCGGCATGCCTGTGCAGAACCGTAGCAAAAATAGTCGCATGCTGGTCAGAATTGAAGTAGATGCAACATCTAATGTCACCAAAACCTCACCAAAAGCCTGACGAAAACCACAACTGATTTTCTTTTTTTTAATATTCTACTTACTTCCTGTGACACAGACACTTTTGTCCTCATTATACCTGCCTGGGTAGTAGTCCTCATTTTTCTTTGAGGCTCCGGCCCCACTCTGAAGAGAGGGGGCAGATTTTTCAAAGTGTCGCAGACAGTTTTGTGTTTTTATAATTATTTCCAGGGTTTTGCAATTTTTTCTATACTTGTTGGCTTTTTTCCCATCTGCTGCTTCTGTTGGACCCTGTCATTCCTTTTGGTGATGCAACAGAATCTATCAATCTTTCTGTCACTTTTTTCTGATAGAATAATTTTGCAGTCTCTTATGAAATGGATATTTCTGTAAAAAAAATGGCAGATTTAGACAGAGAAAAGCCAACCAACTTTTTTATAACAATTCCATAAATACAAACAGATGAGATACCATAAATTGGAGTCAATTTAATTGTAGATTATACTAGCTTTAGTGTACCTATAATCTTACTATTATTAATAGAAAAATAAAAGTAGCAAGAAGAAAAAATCTAATTGCTGTAACCAGGAGATAGTTACTAACACTTGCAATATTAGAGTGAGTATAATAGAAACCCCAATATTTAAACAAAAAAGTTTGCAGGAATCGTAAATCTGCTAAACAATGTATCACAATACAAAAAAGTTTGCAGGAATCGTAAATCTGCTAAACAATGTATCACTGCGATACATTGTTTAGCAGATTTACCATTCCTGCATACTTTTTTGTTTAAATATTGGGGGTTTTATTATACTCACTCTAATATTGCAAGTGTTAGTAACTATCTCCTGGTTACAGCAATTTGATTTTTTCTTCTTGCTACTTTTATTTTTCTGTTATCTATTTCAGCCTAAGGTGTGGGTTGTTTTACTGGGATCTGAGGAGTTATACACTTATTCTGAGACCATTATTTACACCTTCCTATCTAACCGAAAGGAATTACTTCCTTTTTGGTGATTTTTATTTTACTATTATTAATGACAGGAGACGAATATTTGCTTAAGTCTCTCTTTACTAGAACTCCACAGCAGCACATTAACATAGAGAAAACCAACCAATCAGAAAAAAGTAAGGAACATTAAAAGTCCCCTCCCAACCAATACTTCCTCTTTCAAGCTGCGACAAAACAAAGAACAGAAACAAACGTATCCATCTAGTAGTAGCAGGAGAATTCAAACGAAGACAACCAATGACCTTCATCCAGAACCAGAAACCGAACTTGGATCCGTAGATGAACCATTAAACTTTATCCTGATCAAGGCCTTGAACGTGGAACTGTAGATGAACTGAAACGAGATAAACAGAGTCGAAAACTCTGGTTAGTGAATGAAATGTACTGTGAAAACATGAAGACCCAATAATCAATTACAGACAGTACAATATCCATAAAATTTCACCCTGACTTCCCTCAGGAAGGCAAAACAACTGACCTACCTAATCAGAGCCCTGAAGAACAAACTATCAACTAGAGGTGGTCAAACAAAACAAACAAAGTAACAAGTAATGCCTCTTGTCATTAATAAAATTAAGATTATAGTTACACTAAAACTAGTATAATCTACAATTTTACAACATGACAGGAGGCTTCATATTAGCTGTTTTAATGCTTAGACAGCAAAGCAAAGAAGCATGATCCATTGGTCTGAACTAAAATTGTCGGAAAGAGTCCACCCGGGACCAGTCAGCCGAGCGCAGGATGTCCTGGAGAGAGGCGTCCGCGGAAAGGTGCCAGAATCCATTGCTCCCCTAACCGAATGCGCTCAGAAGGTCGAATTCACACCCGCCAAGAACAACAACCATAAAATCCACAGTGTCAGGGTAGGAGAAGAGATCGGAGTGTGAAGTCTAACATAAGAGGTCAATAATTAGTCGGAACTGGACAGGCTAAGTGGAGAAGCAAGCGCCACATAGCGAGACAGAGCCGTCGCCACCTAGAGCATATGCGAGCTGCGGAAATACGGGTAGAATACAGCCGTCGAACACAACCAGTACGGCTAGACACGTGAAGGTGACCCCCACCTGAGAAAAGACAAGAAAAACTTTGACATCGAAGGTCCAGACACCGGAGACTCGTCTGAAAGAAATTAGGCACAGTAGGAAAGCAATTAGCCAAAAGCTGATGGAGGGAAAAGTCTTGATAATCAGCCCAATCTTGGAGAAACAAAAAAAACATGCGTATGTCCCAGAGGGAGGAATATTTAGACGTCGGAGACTGCAAGGTCTCATGCCTCGAAGAAGTCTGCAAACCAACGGGTCCTGACCAATGGGAAAAACCTGGTACGGAACATGAGTTGCCAAAATCGCCGACCTTGCCACGTTAACTGAACGATCCGAGCGCCCCAGGTCAAACAGGTGCAGGAGGAAGTTCAGAACACTGGTTACAGGGATCGGTATCCCGTTCCAGGCACCAACGACACCAGGAGTTCCATGCTAACAAGTGGCATCTCCCATGTTCCAGGAGCCTAGAAGCCCCAGAGGAGGCCTGTAGCAGACTGTGAGAATGCCTCAACATTCCAGGTTCCCCTGAAAGAATTCAGGCCACGAAGCAGAGGCAGACGTCCACCACAAGGGATTGAGGATTGCCCTGGAAAGGCGAGAGGAGCATAAGTGGGGATGGTAGAAGGAGTGGATCCCGATAGGATAGATCCAGAACTTCTGGAAACCAGGCTTGACTCTGCCATAGAGGAGAAAGTGAGCCTCCAGGCGCTGCATGGCACTATAGTGAAGCAGGCCCGGGTAGATTGCCAGGATCGATGCGGAGAGGAGACCCACCACACGTGCCAATATCCACAGTCTTGATGTAGAATCATCCTTAATTCCTTTCGAATGGCCGAGATCCAGGACAGAGGGAGGCGTAAGAGGCACTCCCTTGCATCCAATCAGAAACCCAAGAAGTCGACTACCTGTGATGGAAAAAAAGGTCCGACTTCCCAGGTCGACCACCAAACCCAGGGACCCGAATAAGGAGAGCGCAGAGTGCGCCTGACACCTCAGTCTGGGGGGGGGCTCCTAGCAAAAGATCAGCAGATCGTCCAGGCAGAGTATACAACGGACGCCCTCTGATCAGAGGCGCCTTGTTACCAGGTCCAGCAGCCTGGCGAAGCACCACAGAGCTGAGCCAAAAGCGAACGGGAGACATGTGAATCGGTGAAGTCTGCCCTTACAGAAGAAATGGAGGAACCGTCGGCACTCGGGGTCCACTGGAACCAAGAGGTAGAGATCTTTCAGATCCAGTCTTGTGAAGCAATCTCCTGGGCGAAGGAGGTCCTGCAGGAGATGGCAGTATCTTGAAATGTTGATAAATGACAAAGGTATTCAGGTACCCCAGATTGATCACCGGGCGGAATTCCCCAGATTCCTTCTCTACAAGAAAATGGGGCTGAAGAATCCCCCGTCGTCCGATATCCACCAGACAGTGCCTTTTTTGAAAAGGGCCACCCTTGAGGGTTGTTGAAACCCGGGAGTGCTAGGCTGGGAAGACGAAGGGCGCTTGGGATCCTTGTTGGCCAAACAATCAGAAGCGGTTGGAGACACAATCCCGCTGTCGCCCAGCTCTGGCAAAAACACGGGAGTCTTGCGTGCGGAGGATTCCTTTTTATTGAGGACCGGGTGTTGCTCAAGGCAGTGAATAGAGTCATGTGCCTGCGCAGTTCTGAGGCGAAAGGCTCTCCAAAGAGTAGACCCTGGCTAGGGGCCCAGATCCTTAGATCCCAAGTCCGACAGCTTGGCGTCCATGCGTAAGAGGACTGCTGTCCTACACTCAGTGCAGAGCGCTGTGCTAGTGTTGCCCAGCAGGCAAATGGAGCGCAAAGCCCAGTCTTGTATGGAAGCTGGGTCTAAGGTAGCACCGTGAATAAGCCCCGCCATCCATCATGAGTATTCCAGCTAGGAGCCCAGCATGTCCAGCGGTGTATCCTGTGCCAGTCTGCAGTGTTCGACCCCTTACTTGGAGTCACGTCCAGTACGTGCCACGAATGTGGACACGATGGGGTCAAAACCCGGGTGCAGGGTAACCTTATCCGACAAAAACGGGCCTGGGACATTCCGCCCGTACTTTCTTCTGTACTTCCCAGACCAGAGGCCTGTGGACCAAAAGTGCACGAACTGTGCCAGGTGATCGGGCATAGACCATTCCGAGGATCTGGGGTGTCCAATGGACCGTGGATTGAACAGGGGTTCGCCCTTAGCGTCCAGGCATACATCGACCTCCAGCCTAGAGGCGGGCGCATCCTTGCATAGAATGACCCCTGAAGTCGCGGGGCCATGCAGTGTCGTCCAGCTCTTCCCCACCCCACCTGTCTTCCACGTCCGAGGGAGGCTGGACTGCCCGCCAGTTAACCAAGATAGCGGGGGGCTGGGAGGGGGGTAAGGAGTCCTCCTCCCCCCTCATCGGAGAGCTGTCTCCGGCCGGTAGACGGGTCTGAGACCACTGGTGCACAGACAAAGCAGGCCAATCATGGGGCACAGACAAAGCAAGCCAATCAAGGGGCACAGCCAGAGCAGGTCAATCCTGGAGTGCAGTTAAGGGCAGGCCAATCCATGTGATAGTCCGTTGTATATGGCAGGGTAAATTGTCAGCTTCAGTGTAGAGCAATCATAACATTTAAACTGGCCAGTAAGTAGGGGGCATATGACCACTAGCACATGAGTACAATGAAAAAGGATGTAGCTTCGCTTAACAGATATATTGTTTGTGAAATGTGGGCACAATGATTGTAAGACAAATAAGATAGACAGTATAATAGATCTTCGAGAGATGGGTAAAAAACCCAAACTGACAAATGCAGTGCCCACTGAAACTGGAAAAAAAAACCCTCCTGCACTAGCTAGCTCCAAACCCCCTGACCGGAGAGGGTTCCTGAGCCGGGGAGGGCACAAAAGAGGATCCGGGAGCCGCCGCTCCCACGTGGCAGGCCTCTCACCCCTCTCCTCTCCCACCGCACGAGGGCTGCGATATTGGAGGTCATTTACCCACGGTCCGGTGACAGGAAAGGTAAGCGGCGATGTGAGAGGGGGGAAGGCCCAGGCAATGGGTCTCATGCCGTGGCGCAAGGCCAATGAGCTGCAGGACACAACACATGGGGCCGCAGGAGACATACTCCACGGCCCTGGTGCGCAGGAGATCGGAGGAGGCAGTTAAATGGCCACCTCCCGCGACGGCCGTGCCAAGAATCCACAGACGGGTAAAACAAAGAAGGGAGCAGAGAGAGTGCCTGGTTAGCACCCAGGCAGTGAAGGTATTAGCGAAATAACAGTGAAGGGAAGGCATATAGGCATAAAAAACACAGGGTATACCTAAAATGAATACAAGATATACTCAAAATATACACAATGCTATACCATATATACACCACACACAAGAGATACACAATGTATACACGAGCTATACACTACTTTTTTCTGATTGGTTGTTTTTCTCTATGTTAATGTGCTGCTGTGGAGTTCTAGTAAAGAGAGACTTATAAATAACAAATATGAAGCTCCCTGTCATGTTAGAAAAAGAAAAAATCTCTCCTCATCCCTCCTATCTGCTACATTCTCTTTTCCTCTGCACAACATTCCACAAATAGGTCAAAAGTCGTGGAGACTTTATGGTAAACCCACTTAAAAAGTCTGAATCAAGTTTTATCTGGTCTATACCATTACAGATGGAGCCTATATAGCAAAGACACAAAAACATATTGCAGTATATTATTTATTTATTTATTTATAAAATATTTTACCAGGAAAGATACATTGATATTTCTCTCGTTTTCAAGTATGTCCTGGGTACAAATCATTGCATTGTTACAATTAGGCTACAATAAAATACAAAAACAATATTAATACACAATAAATACAAAATGTAACATAGAACAGGTAGGAAATATATAATCAACCATGACAGGTGCATTCTGTTTTGAGGTATGTAGAGAGGGATCTCTTAAAGGACTTTAAGCTTAGGGAAGATTTTAAATTGTGCGGGAGGTCGTTCCACAATTGCGGTGCTCTGTAGGAGAAGGAGGATCGAGCTGCTTTCTTTTTGTATTGAGGTAGACTGAGTAAAGTGTTGGTACTTGATCGGAGGTTATAGAAAGTGGGAACAGCTGAGGACAGCATTGTGTTCAGGTAGGGTGGGAGTTTCCCAGAAAAGCTCTTAAACACAAGGCTGGAAAGATGAAGGGTGCGTCTGGATTCCAGCGACAGCCAGTTTAGTTCTTTTAGCATGTCACAATGGTGAGTCCTGTAATTACATTGTAGCACAAATCGGCAGAACGAGTTATACAATGTGTTGAGTTTATTAATGTGGGATTGCAATGCAGATGCATATACTACATCATAATCAATGATTGGCATCAGCATTTGCAGTACAATCTTTTCCTTTACTATAGGGCTTAGACAGGATTTGTTTCTGTACAGGGCACCTAGTTTTGGATAAAGTTTAGATGCTAGCTTTTCTATGTGCAGGCCAAAAGATAGATTGGGGTCTAACATCATACCCAAGTATTTGAAAGAGTGGAATGCGGTCAGTGTGCCATTTGAATTTGTTCTGATGGATGGGTGGGATAGGTGGGAATTGTGTAATTTGTGTAATTTAGGAACTGTTCCAAAGATCATTGTGGGGGGGCGGGGCCAGGCCGCCGGGCTGACAGGACGCCATCCACATGGGCTCCAGCAACAAAACGCCAGAAACAGCACCAAACATAACCCAAACCCGCTCAAACAAGCAAAACCTGCCGCATCTGAAAGGGGGAAAGCACCAACTCCCACCCGATACCCGCACGAAGCTGACCGCGGGGCGGGCGGGCAGAGAGGAGTGGATCCGGCCTACACGCGGCCTCGGAGTACCGGCCGCCATTGCCGTAAACTGGCGCAACACAGAGCCAACCCGCTGCGAGACAAGCATTCGTGGTGAGGGCAGACCCCTGGCCTGGGGCACGGCCCCCTCTCCCCCCCTGGCCGGCGGGGGATATCCCGGCCACATGGTGGCGACAGGTACCACAGCGGGAGCTGAGGACTCAGGTGCTGGGCTGGGACCGTCCTGGGGGAGACAGATGGAGACTCGGCGTCCCGGGAGACGCACCACGGCCAAGCCATGGGTGGCCCTTATCGGACTGACACTACAAACAGTCCTGCTCCTATACTGTTATAATTACTATAGTTATACTAGACGTTGCGAGGTGTACCTTTGAGCCTTGTTACAGTTCGTCTTGGTTGGTCACTTTCTTAGCGAATATCGCTTTAGGCTAGTGACTGGCCGTTAACTGGTTGGCCCAAATCCAGCTGGCACAATCAGGAGAATAAATATTATGCTACTGCGTAGCTAAAAGCCCATAAAGTATGATTAAGACGTAACGTTACCCTTAGCTGCACATAAACGCAGGCTAGGCAATTCACAGCTGCATACTGCCTGCCTTTAACAATATCAGAATGGCTGAATGCAATATAAAAAGCCTGCCTTTTCATTTATGTATTTATGCTGAATGCTTATGTTAAATACCTTTTTTAAACCTAATAAGAATACAGCTGCCCTACCTGCTAAGGCTAAATTAGGCGCTGTTACATGGCTCTCATTGCTAATTTCTTGAATGTCTGGTTGCTCTGTTACCTTTGTCATTTATACGTAACATAAATGTGTCATGTTTAAGCTTTCTTTAATCAACGCAACATGTAATTATATGGCCCTAACTTTTGCAGCCAGCACACACAGAATAGATACCCAGAAGTTGAGCATAGCATGCCATTGCCCAGGCAGAAGTCGATGTATTTATGGTTTATAATGACATGACTATGCTTTCTTTACTTAATGCATTATATAAATATAAGACTTTAACCCACGCAGCATGCACACACAGAATAGATATTCAGCTGTTAAGAATGGCGGCCCATGCCGAAATTGATGTATTCACGTTTATTAATTCAGGATAAAAACGACCATGTTGTTCGGTCACATTGCCCCATTGGGCTTAAGGTTAATGTTATGTATTACTGCTTCCCTAACAGAATTATATGGTTAAGACCTGTCAACATACACAGATATGGGCCGCAATGCCTGTCTCTTAACATGCCACCTCGTTGACGGGTGCCGCCATCAGATTGTCTGTAGGCTTCAGTTAATGATGGTGGATTTATATAATTATAGGATCTACCCGGGTGCAGTCATATAGATTATCGCAGTATATAGGTTTTACAACCTGATGGCGCCATTTTGTTATTCTGTTATGATAACACTACTGACATAATAGGCCTCTGCATAGGCAAACGTAGGCTTATAACTGAGCACAATAAGTTTATATTTTACGAAACACACGCAACGAAACAGAAGACAGTTTATTATTATGCACATGATCTGATATACACGCCTCTGCGCAGGTGAATATCTGCATATATTTCCATGTACCGATATATACGCCTCTGCGTAAGTGACTACTTGACTTAAAAATAATAAGTTTGATATCCGCGTTTATGTTGTGATAACAATAAAAATATTCAAAACAAAGATCATTGTGACAGTTTTGTCAGTGTTCAGGAAGAGTTTGTTTTTTGTGATCGCTGGGTTAAAGGATCACTATAGGGTGAGGAACGCAAACATGTATTCCTGACCCTATAGTGTTAAAATCACCATCTAGCTCCCCTGGGCCCCTCATGTCTTCATAAATATGGCAAAATCTGAATGTTTGGATGCATTTTAGGCAGCCATGACCCAGGAAGGATCTCTAACAGTCATAAGAGGAGTGGCCAGTGAAGTTATCACTAAGCTGTAATGTAAACACTGCATTTTCTCTGAAAAGACAGTGTTTACAGCAAAAAGCCTGAAGGTAATGATTCTACTCATCAGAACAAATTCAATAAGCTGTAGTTGTTCTGGTGACTATATTGTCCCTTTAAGGGGACCGGGACAGTTCACCCAGATCACTTCAATGAGTTTAAGTGGTTTGGGTGCCTATATTGTCCCTTTAAGTCCTCCTGAATGGGATTGTAGTAATTACCTAAAGGGCAAGCTATTAACTATTAGTCTGCTTTTGGTCTGTGTTTTATATATTGTGCTTTAGTCTTTAAATTGTGTTAAGGCACATGAAATGGGCATGAACCACAGGTTTTACATAAAACATCTCATCCTAAAAATACAATTAGTTAAGAATTGCAATTCAATTTCTTTATTTAAAAAGAAATAGGTGTAATACATCAATATTACTTAAATGACAATGCACAGGATTGATGCAACAATTATCAAGAATAGTTGCATGGCTCCATTCTCACTGAAAATCTCCAAACATATATGACATAAATGATAAAATAGTGTCTAGCAACCCATTCTTTATTTATAGTGATAGGCACGCCCTCCACAATAAAAATTAGGATTACACCAGGTTATAGCAAGGCAACTCTTTGTGTCACCTGTCATTATTACATCACGCCTGGCTCACTTAAATACAAACAGATCAGTAGATGTAGTCCTTTTTGATCAGAGCTGCTGCTGCTATTAACAGTTCAGGTGACATCAGTGGGATAGCAAGCATGATTCTTGACCAACATGCAGTGGTTATAGACAACGGTTCTGGAGTAATTAAGATTGGATTTGCGGGAGAAGACAAACCACGATATGTGTACTCAAACATGGTAGGAAGACCTAAATACTTACCTATCATTGTTGGAGCTGGACAAAGGGATTACTATATTGGAGAAGAAGCACAAGAAAGAAGGGGTATCCTCTCATTAAGCTACCCAGTGGAGCATGGTGTGGTGACTTCATGGGATGACATGGAGCTCATATGGAGCTATGGATATAATTATAATTTAAAGATAAACCCATGTGATAGACCACTTCTCGTTTCTGAGGTACCTCTTAACCCACGTTTTAACAGAGAAAAAATGATGACTGTCTTATTTGAGGGATTTAGTGTTCCTGCAACATATGTTTCAATCCAAGCAGTTTTAGCTCTTTACTCCTCAGGAAAAGTAACTGGTTGTGTGGTGGACATAGGTGAAGGTGTGACGCACACAGTCCCTATCTTTGAAGGATACTGTCTTCAACATGCTGTGCTAAGGCTCGACCTAGCAGGAAAAGACCTGACAAACTATCTGATGAGAATACTAAATGAAAGTGGTGTTTCCTTTATTACTACATCAGAAAGAGAAATTGTCAACGATATGAAAGAAAGGCTATGTTATGTCGCTTTTGATATAGCATGTGAGAGCATGAGACCAAAAGCAGATTTGGAAAAAGAATACAAACTTCCCGATGGAAAGATTATCACCATCCACAAAGAGAGGTATAAATGTCCAGAAACACTGTTTCATCCTGCAAGAATAGGAATGGAGTCACCAGGCATTGATAGAATGTGTTTTAATAGCATAATGAAGTGTGACATCGATATTCGGAGCACCCTTTGCAGCAATGTGCTACTGTCTGGAGGGTCCAGCATGTTCCAAGGCATTGGTGACCGTATGAGCAAGGAACTGGCCAGCTTGATTCCACCAGAAAGCCCACTGAATGTTATGACTTCAACTGATCCCTTGTTGGCAGTATGGATGGGAGGATCAATATTGTCTTCCCTGTCTGCCTTTCAGCACATGTGGGTCACACGGGCAGAATACTTGGAAGTAGGACCAAACATCGTTCACAGAAAATGCTTCTAGATGAGAAGGTTGAAGCAGTATGCTTGAAACTGCATGAATAAAACCAGCTGCATGTAAACCTTGTTCTTTTCAGATCAAATCCTTCTTTGTTTTGGTCAGATGACTTGTTTCAGCAAAATTTGTGATGTACTTTTAATTAAAGGACCAATCATACTTTATGATGTCATAATCTAAACTTAAAGGGGGACTGTCACAATGATTTATATAATTCTGTTTACAGGGCAGTATAGTCACCAGAACAACTAACCCCTTAACCCCTTAAGGACGGCAGGCGTGCTATGTCGTCCTTAGGGTACCGGCTCTAAACGCCGGGGGGCGGCATAGCACGTCCCCGCCGTCCTATGTACTTACCTGGCCGCCGGCGATCGCATTATGGGGACTTACCTGGAAGCCCAGGGAGTCCCCCTCCGTCGTCTTCGGCCCCCTGGGCCATGTGATCACGAGGTCCTTGCGAGGACCGCGTGATCACATTGACGGCAAAGCCATCCATAGCAATGCCAGCACGGGGAGTGCCTGCAATGACAGGTACTCCCCCTGCTGTCTGAAAAAAAAAAAGTTTAAAACAGTGTAAAATTTAATAATATATACTTAGATCATATATAGATTTATTATATATATGATCTAAGTATAGATATACACATAAACACATATACACATAAATACACATACATAGTCTAAGTATATTTTAATATTAATATATATATATATAATATATATTATATATATATATATATATATATATTAATATCAAAGTACAGGTACAATGATATTGATTAAATATATATAATTATCATTTTATATATATATATATTTATATATAATATAAAATAAATATAAATACGTTAAAAAATAAAATTAAAAAAATTATAAAAAATAAATAAAAAATATATATATATGTGTAATTTCGTTCTAACTGTATTTTACAAATAATATATATATGTATATATATATATACATATATATATATAGATATCAAAATACACGTAGAACGAAATAATATATATATATCTATATACCTAAGTATATACGTATATATCACTATATATATATATATATATATATCTATATATAAATAAAAATTATTTTAAAAAATATATACATTTATATATACACACACAAACATAATAATTCTACATATATATTTATGTAATAATTTTACATAATTAGGTCATTTTATTAATTACAATTTGCAGGACCTGCCTGACAACCCAGGCCGAAAGTCCAGGGAATTTAATTTGCTAGAACTATATTTAATCCTGTAACTTTCCAAGACACCATAAAACCTGTACATAGGGGTACTGTTTTACTCGGAAGACTTTGCTGAACACAAATATTAGTAAAATGTATTACAACAATGATATCGTCAGTGAAAGTGAAATTTTTTGCATTTTTCACACACAAATGGCACTTACACTGACAATATAATTGTTGTAATACATTTTACTGTTTTGAAACACTAATATTTGTGTTCAGCGAAGTCTCCCGAGTATAACAGTACCCCTCATGTACAGGTTTTATGGTGTTTTCAAAAGTTACAGAGTCAAATATAAGTCTTGCATTTCGGTTTTTCACATTGAAATTCACCAGGTTGGTTATGTTGCCTTTGAGACCATACAGTAGCCCAGGAATGAAAATTACCCCCATGATGGCATACCATTTGCAATAGCAGACAGACAACCCAAGGTATTGCAAATGGGGTATGTCCAGTCTTTTTTAGTAGCCACTTGGTCAATGGCCAAAATTGGCGTTCAAATTAGTTTTTTGAATTTTTCACACACAAATATTAACGCTAACTTTGGCCAGTGTTTGTGGCTACTAAAAAAGACTGGACGTACCCCATTTGCAATACCTCGGGTTGTCTACTTTTGCAAATGGTATGCCATCCTGGGGGTAATTCTCATTCCTGGGCTACCATTTAGTCTCAAAGGCAATATAACCAATCTGGCGAATTCCAATGTAAAAAAAAATGAAAAATGTAACATGCTATATTTGACCCTGTAACCTCCCAAAACACCATAAAACCTGTACATAGGGGGTACTGTTTTACACATGAGACATCGCTGAATACAAATCTGTGTATTTTATTGCAATAAAAGCAAACAGTATTATGAAACTCACAGTTAAAATGTCAGGTAGAACATTTTTTTTTTAAATTCTTATTTTTTCCCATTTTTTTTACATTTTATTCAAATTAAATTATGTTTCATACCTAAATATTTGATGTTAAATGAAAGCCCTGTTTCCCCTGAATAAAATGATATATAATAAGTGTGGGTGCACATAATATGAAAGAGGCGAATTATGCCTGAACAGACATTTAGCACAAATTCCAGTTTTGTTCCATTTTGTTTTGATCACAACGTGTACATTTGGCTCAGTCCTTAACCCCTTAAGGACACAGCTTCAGAAGCTGGACATACCCTTAAGGACACAAGCAATTTTTGCATTTTTTGCTGTTTGCGTTCAAATGCAATTTGCATCTCTCTCATTTATTGTACCAACACATATTATATACCGTTTTTTAGACAACAAAAAGGGCTTTAATTTGATGTGACATATACATATATAAATTCTCATTTATTACCAAAACAAATACAAAATAATGTGGAAAAAAACAACAAAATGCTTTTCCCCCCAAGTTTTGGCAATAATAATGTGTACATAATATGTCCAGCTTAGGAAAGGTAATTCAAAATCAATTAATTTATGTGTCTTGATTTACAAAGTGCATAATATGTCTAGGATTTCAGTTTATTTTGAAAGTTACAGGTCACAAACTACAAGGTCTAAAATAAAAGTTCAATGTGAAACAATTTTAGAAGTTGGTATGTTTGTCTTGGAAGTTTAATACCCATTACAGGAAACAAAATTGCCACACAAAAGTATATATTTATATAAAGTAGACATCACAGGCTATTTACCTAAGGTTAGTTTGACACTTTTTGCGTAGCTATTTCACCGCCAATCTCTGCTAAATATTGGAGTAAAATTTAGTTTTTTCTCTATTTTGGCATATACACATATTACAAGTTTTTTTGTAATGTGTATTTCGTAAACCTAGTGTGTGCTATCCCTGTACAGAACCCCATATTGTGTTCAGCTGCATCTGCTGAGTAAAACGATACCCCTGTTGTATACACTTGCCCCTATTCTGTGAAGCTACAATGCCATATAGGAGACCATGCTATTTCAGTTTCTATAGTTGGAATTTTCATAGATGGTCATATGTCTGATTTTGTGGCATTGTAGCCATTTGACTGTTCAAATAACCCCACAAAGGCCTTCCATTTGAGAAAGCAGACACTCCAGGGTATGTTATTAGGCATATATTATACCTTAACTTGCCACCATTTTTTCACCAATTAATTTCAAATTTTGTGGTAAGAAAAAATAATTACATTTTTTTACATACATGTTGCATTTTCGCTGGGTATTTCTTACATTTGATAAGTGCCACTGTCATAAATTACCTCTTCTGAGTAAAACAATAAGCCCAATGTATGACCTAGACACTATTTTGTGAAGTTACAGTGCTGTGAAAGAGACGTGACAAGTTCAGGTTTTTAAGTGTGAATTTAGATGGAGAGTTTTAATGGGCCCGTATTCTATTTTTAAATATGTTAGCAGGCTGCTTTTTCCAACTACCCCAAAAAGGCATACTATTTCTTAAAGAAGACGCCCAAGGGTATTTCAAAAGGCAAATTTTGAACCTTAGCGTGGGATAATTTTTCCGTTAGCTTGTATCAAATGTAGTGGTAATAAGCATTTTTCTTCTGCCTTTTTTTAACACACAGTGAGTTTGTACTGTATATTTTGCAAACCTTATGTGTGCTACGGCTTTTTAATACTTTATATGTTGCTCATCTATGTTGTCTGAGTACAGCAAAACCACCGTATGTACCTTTACCAGGTATATGTGGACGTTAAAGGGGCACATTTCAGACACAGCCATTGCAGGTTTTTTCAAAACTTTGAATTTTTACGCTGTGTTGTTACCCCACTTTAGAGTTTTTTACCAGGCTATATATTTCAACTATCCCATAAAAGCATACTATTTCTTAAAGAAGACATCCCAGGGTATTTCAAAAGGCATATTTTGAACCTTAGCATGGGATCATTTTTTTGCTAGCTTGTACCAAGTGCAGTGGTAATAAGCATTTTTTTCTGCTTTTTTGACACACACACAGTGAGATTGTACTGTGTATTTTGCAAACCTTATGTGTGCTACGGCTATATAATAGGTCCTATCTTGCTCAGCTATGTCGTCTGAGCACAGCAATACCCCCATATATACCTTTGCCAGGTATATGCGGACATTGAAGGGGCACATTTGAGACACAGCCATTTAAGTTTTTTCAAACTTTACATTTTTACGCTGTATCCATACCCCACTTTGGAGTTTTTTTTGCAGGTTAATTATTCCAGCTACCCCATAAAGGCATACCATTTCTTAAAGAAGACACCCTAAGGTATTTCAAAAGATGTGTTTTGAACCATAGCGTAAAATAATTTTTCCGCTAGCTTATACCAAGTGTAGAGGTAATAAGCATTTGTTATGCTTTTTTGACATACTCAATGAGTTTGTAATATATATTTTGCAAACCTTATATGTGCTACAGCAGTATAATACATCACATGTTGCTCCGCTATGTCACAGCAATATCCCCTTATGTACCTTTACCAGGTATATGACAACGTTGAAGGGGCACATTTGAGACACAGCCATTTAAGTTAGATTTTTTACGCTGTGTCCATGCCCCACTTTGGAATTTTTTTAATAGGTTGTGTTTTCCAATTACTTCACAAAGGCATACCATTTCCTAAAGAAGACACCCCAGGGTGTTTCAAAAGGCATATTTGAAACCTTAGCGTGGTATCATTTTTTTTCGCTAGCCTGTACCAAGTGTAGAGGTAATATGCATTTCCCCCCTTTTTAAAACATTTTGTAAAACTTTTTAAAAGTATTTTTTAACTTTTAAAAAGTTTTATTTAGCTTTTAA